ATGCATGCTGGGAACTGGCACAGCATTGTTCAACATACAATTATTTCAGATATCTCAATTTGGACAAGTTTTGGACTTAGATTTGCAAATCTAAGCCAATCTCAACCAAAGTATCATGTTTAGAGGATTCTTGTTTAGTTCACTCGAGATAATAAATGAACTCCTACTAAATCATCTTTGTTAATCTACTTTTTTTATATTTGTTAGAAGGACATTTTGCAAGTTGTATTATTATTATTTTTTTTTTTTTTTTTTTTATAAATGCCTTCTAATATTTTCGTGCATGGTCATGGGGAGCTTTGGAGTCAACTTATCTAAATGGTGAAAAACACATTCCTTTATTTCTTATCTTCGATGCCTCTTCTAAATAATTCAATTTCCTCTGGACTACTGATGACATGAGGGATAAAAGTCATCCTGGCCAAGCACTGGTCTCGGCAGCTGCGGATCAATAGGTGTAAGTCAAGGTGTTAGTCAGATAACTGTTTCAGATCAGATCTGTCGAGAGTTGGAGCTTTTACCGGTGAGTTTGTGCAAAAAGGCAGTTGCAAAGTTGTTCTGGGTGTTGCTAGGGTGTTGCTATGTAGGTGGTTGCTGATGTAAGTATGCTTGCAGTTATACCACACCCTCTCCTCAACAAGCCAATGACATGTACTTTCCACATTCTAAATAAAACAATAACCTACATTTTTCTGCCAAAATTGCATCACCGGTGTAGATGAATGAATAGATAATATTTGTGCCTGGTTTCAAGGAAAGGTGCTGTGCAGTGCATGTTGGGACACGCTTTATTGTATATTTGTCTTCTGTGAAGATGAGCCTGTTTTTCTCCACTGGATTTCAGTTTTCTTTTCCAATAATGGAGCTTCAGATCAGTGCATCGTCACAAAACATTTCCAGGCAAATAGTTACATACGTTTCAAGTAAATAATGGCGGTTCAATCAGGGTTTCCACGCTGTTTGACAGCTAAATGTCCTTGACTTTCCAGTCATTCATCAATAGTGGATTTATTTATTTAAAATGTTGTATGTAATATAAACATTTCCATGACTTTTCAGAGATGATTAGGCCTGAAAAATAACACTTTTCACATTAGTTCCAAGTTTTCCATGACTGCATGGACCTAAAACGATTTGTGCAAGAGTTGATTGTGCAAAACAATGATCATTGATCATTTTCGTAAAAACTGAATGCTTTTCACATCGCTTTGCATATGTTTCGCCACATGGTGCATGTTATATAAGAGGCCATTAAGTACAATAAGAGGAAAATGCGCTGTGTGTGCATCTCCACCAACTGCTGTTCAGTTCCACTAAAGTGAATCTCTTGTGTCAGCATGAACAGTGAGAGCACTTTCACTTTCATTTCCCATGCACAAGACACATGCCTTCCAACTTTCACCATGACACGTCACACGGTTGGCATGATCAGGGAACCTTCAGCGCCGCGGGGGAATGAGATGACGTCAATAACAATAGAACAATGCATCTTATCCTTCTGTTAAAATAATATTTACAGTTACACTTGTGTGACTTTTCTCGTAATACGTCTCGCAGCTTCTCGTACTCGCTCTCCATTCTGTTTATTCAATGGTCGAATTGTGATCATTTTTATTAATGATGTAATTACTATCATAACTGAATTACGTTCAAGTGTAGTAATACATTTCATAAATGTGCATGCAACAGCTGAATTAATTTATGTGCATAGCTATGTGCATAGCTTTTCCACAAGAAATGTGGATAATGTTTCTTGAGTTTTATGAATATTGGTTCAAATGTATTTTGATGGAGTTGACTATAAATAATGCATGTCATGTCAACTAACTCTCATTAGAGTATTAGTAGACTGTTAGGTTCGGGTTAGTAGAATAAGTCGACATGTACATGCAAAGTTACTTATAGTCAGTAGAACGTCTGTTGGTGAACAATGAAAATAAAGTGTTAGCAGATATTAAGCAGACAGTCTACTAATACTTCAATGAGAGTTAGTTTACTTGACATGTAGTTGCAACGTTACTTATTGTTAGCAGATAGGGGGCCGTCGAAATAAAGAGTTACCAAAATTGAATTAATTAAAAAATGCAAATAAAATAAATAAATGCATATTTCACATTTTTTTAAAACAAATTAATAAAATAGTAAATTAAAAGATTGTTTGAAAAAGAAACAAATAAATAAATAACAGAAATGATATTGAAATGGTGGAAAAACTGTTGCAACGATGCTGTAATGTGCCGCCCACAGTATCAGTTAAACACCCCCACACTTTCCACTGACAGGAACTTCCTTGAGGAATACCAGAATTTGGGCATCCAAAAAAATATGTCCTGTTTCATTTTTACCTTACCTGACAGGTGTGGTCAGTGTTTCTGGCCCGTTTCATTTTGACCCAGAATGACAGGTGTGGTGCAGCAGGTGACAGTCCTCGAGCTATAAAAGGCACAGCAGAACAGCAGTGTCACATCAGCATCTCAGCATCTCAGCTCCTGATAAGCAGAACAACAACAGAAGGTGAGCACTTTCTTGTCAAGTACACAGTTTACATTCATTTTGCATGAGTGTTTAAATTCTTATAATGATGAAGATTCTCGCTCTTCCATGCTTTCAGGAAATATGGTCTGGATTCGAATCATCATAATCTGCACGTCCATATCTCTGCTGCAAGGCCATAAGAAGTGCACAAGACACATACATTGGGACCATCTCATTCAGTCTTTAAATTCAATGGTAAGTGTCCACAACTCTGGTTTAACCATGAATTTTCAATTAAACTCGCAACATGAACTGAACGCATATGATTTGTGTTTTCAAAGGGCACTGCGATATCACATGATTGTGCATTTGATTATGAAGAAGACAGCCTGTGTGATCCACGTCACCTGGTCAATATGGTTTGTACATCTGCAATCCTTCTGTATATTTCTGATTAAAGGTGTTTTATATAAGTCAATTATAATAATAAAATTAATATTTGCTATTCACAGGTGGATCATAATGCAGTCCTTCTAGTCGACATTGTCAAGAGAGCAGAGACAATGTACAGGGAGAATCCGAACCCAGGGGCGTTTATTGATACTCTCCGTCACACCCGTCATACCCTGAGCAATTGCGTAAGAATCACAGCATGTGGTATTAGAAGTTATGATACAGTCACACAGCTTATTGTCAACATGATAATCACGTTGTCTGCATTTCTTCGGTAGGTTCATCACTCTGGCAATGTTGAAAAGGAACCTGTGATCACATGCTTCAACAAATTAGATGCTTTTCTTAAGAAAAAGGTAAGAGTATCTATCTATCTATCTATCTATCTATCTATCTATCTATCTATCTATCTATCTATCTATCTATCTATCTATCTATCTATCTATCTATCTATCTATCTATCTATCTATCTATCTATCTATCTATCTATCTATCTATCTATCTATCTATCTATCTATCCCTGTCTAAATGTCTATATAATTCTATTTTTTTCAGTCCCACTCACATTGTGCATGGGAAATCATTAATTCAAAACTGAGAGAGATTCTTCAGAGGCTGGAGAAACGCTCCGTCAGAAGGCGCCGTTAGAGACTTTATGCATGTCTTTTGATAGTATGCATATATATTTTTTAAAGTTATGAAAATGTACATAATATGCAAAACGTTTAAAATTTATGTTTTTTTTAGTGTGTGATAAGCTTGATTGATATAGGCCTATGCATTTTTTTTACTATATTTTTTTTAAATAAAATTGTTATGAAATGCACATATTGTAATACACAAAATGTTTCAAATTCATGATATTTTTGAGCCATGAACAGTTGCTGTGTGAGTTTGTTTGTGTACTTTGTATATTCTAGATTATTTATATATTTTACTGTTAAAATGTGAGTCTTCATAGCTTCTGTACTGTATGTCTTTGATATGATCTGTACTTGAACAAAAATAAAAAAGAATATGAATAAAATCTCTGTTTCATCCTTCTGTCATATGGTGTTCGGATTGAATATAAATATACATGTATATTAAACAAACAAACAAAATGTATGTAAACTGTTTTAAACATAAATGGTCTCACAGACAAGGCTTAGATTGAGCCAGGATTAGGCCTTAGTTCAATTAAAACATTTCAGTAGCTTTTATAAAATGTGCCTTAGATAAAACATGGTGTGCATTTTGAGACAAAACAATGGCAGTGATATTTTTTAAGATATGTCAGTGCAAGTTATTTTCAGTTAAAACAGCTCAAACATACATTTTAGTTTGGGACTAACTTAAGCCTTGTCTGTGAAACCGGGTGATAGCCTAATGTGTTAGCATAATGGTACTATAATAAGTGAAACAAAAGGAAAAAATTAATAAAATAATATTTAGTTTTTGCATATTTACAATATTTTGAATAAAAAAAATCTAAAAAGTCACTGTCAGTCATATGATCAGTTGGAAGAATAGCCTACATTAGAATATAATCTTCATTCTTAGAAACAACATCAATCACATTCCCTTGCAGTTCTTATACTAACCAACAGACGACAGCATACTCTAAAAATAACGGTTTAAAAGCTACACAAATGACTAGCAAGATTGTAATCACGCCCATGTTACTTTTAATATATAATTTAATTGCACGGTTAAAAAAAAATATAGGTGTAAACTGTAAATCAACATTTTAACTATTTTGCTCTTTGACAGCATCTGACAGTTACCGGAATTTTTTTCCGGACCATATTTGTCCAATGCAAAATAATTGTCCCGCCTACATTATCTTCCTACACGGAAACGTCGCCGAGAGCGTCTACTATTGGTCAACATCCTGACAAGAATTCTTGATCTATTCAACCATTGGCTGAGAAGCTGTCAGTCACAGAAACTGTTGATTCAGGTTGACGAGAGGACGTACAGGAGGAGACCGCTCGTGAGAGAAGAGGAGAGGGGAGGATAGAGTCCCTCAACCGGCACTCTTACATATAGAATTTAATTTATTAAATATTGTTTAACATATTGTTAAGGGAAAATGGCTCAGCCAGACAATAAGAAGTTCTTTGAGAACCTGACGGGCGCTGGGAAATCTATAGCAGTGCTGACGAGCGGAGGAGATGCTCAAGGTACAGTAGAAAGCTCACTGACATCTCATGATCGTTTTCTTATATTGCATCACTTTAACTCGTGATTATCAGTGTTGTTTTCTATTGAAATGTTCAGAATGTTTTCTACACCGTATCATTATGACATCTGATGTTCATCCTGGTACTTATTATACAGTGCGATTCACTGTTATCAGTGTTAAATGGACTGCTCCGTCATTATATCAGTTGCACTGTACAAATGCAACTTTGTTAGAACCTCATACTTCGATTTGCTTCTCGTTAGGATGGATGAAATGGCCCTTGAGGGCCTGAGGAGATTGAAATGTAGGCTAACCATCAGTTAATCACAAGGTCATATATCTTGAATCGTGATGCGTTTGACTGACACATGGTTGATGATTAGGTCATCGGGTTTAGGGCATAGGAATGTCTGTCATTATTTATATCCACCACAGCTGGCTGTTCAGGCTGGCTAATAGCAGTACAAGTGTAGCTTAAGAATGATGGTGAGGATGCAAATCACACACTAAATACATTTGAGCTCATCCTGCTACATTGCAGATGACAGTGAAGCTTTAATTTCTGTCATAACGTTTTCAGATAACGGGGAGCTTTTCCTTACGTCTCTATTATGTAGGTGTGTATGTGATTGAATAGCATTTATTCCAAATGCATGTCACTGCATTGCGGAATCACGTGACCTTCACGAAGAGCACGTAACATGTCATCTTCACTGCCACAATCGAGCCTAAAATATTCTGCTGCTTGCTTATGTTTGCTTAATATGAATAACCGTCATGTCTTTTAACGTTACCTCATATCGGCGCTTTTCTGTCTGTCAATCATCGATATGAAGTTGTTTCGCCTTCAACCAGGAAGTTGCTGCGCGTTTCAGTCACTTTCCTGTGTTTATCGCGTGCAGGTGCTTTTTAAAAGTCATGTTTGTTTCTTCATTAAGTGGCCTATTTCGTAAAGAATACGTGAATTATGTGACTTTAAGGATTTAGCACGTAGACAGGATGCGTACGTGAGGAGCCGCGTTTGAGCCGGTGAGGTACGTCACAGGAATCTGAGTCATGTGACCGACGCGCGCCCCTTCATAAACCAAAGTCACGTTTCACCTTTGCGTTTCACGCAGCCATAATAATTCAACATTATAGGCCTACCTTTGCTGTAAATTAAATACGTGCATTGGATTGAATAACCAAAGACGCTGTTTTTACCTGATATGACCTGTATAATGACTCGTGTAACCGAGTCTAGTCAGGATGAGTCAATAATAAAAAGCGGGTTAGAAGTGCACCTGAAGTGCACTTTTACAACCACATTGCAAAGACTAGTTGTTCCTTTGGAAATTACAATCTAGTTTATGAGCCCATTTCACTCCTTTATAAAAGGATATTCTTTTTAAGCCGATTATTATTTCTGACTATTTCTATTTTTTTTTTAGAAGTATGCACACATTGCACAGTGTAGGCCTAGTCTTTTTCCACAAGAGATTTCTCTGCAGCTCGTGAGAAATGCTAATGTTCTTGGTTTGTAAGTTACTGTGTGGTAAAAAATTTACATATAATTTCATTGTAGTTAATGAGTCACCAAATGCAGTGTCACTACAGTCATCTGATGTAACACTCATGCAATATTAGTCAGTTCAGTGGCTTAATGTATTCGTGCACATTTCTCAGTCACTCGAACACATGTTATAGATGTATTCATTCATTGACACTTTAGAGCAGCTGCAAGACGTATAGCAGGACTGCATTTGTTGTCTGTTTAGATAAACTGATAGACAGTGACAGACTCAAAAGATTGATATCATGGTAAAATGGACACCTTCAGTCATTGATTTTACTTTTTCAGCCCCTGTTGGGCTGCTATAACTCTCTGACATCACCCACTGCGCAATGTGACATCAGATTGACGTCTTTTCTATGTAATTTTTGGACGTCCAATTTCGCTCCACTGAAGGGGTTGTTTTGTAATGCCAGACGACGTCTTTTTTCGACATCTACAGCACGTCTAATGTTGACGTTCGTGGGACCTCCATGTAAGGGTTATTTATAGTCCAAATGTGGTCGTTTGTGGACGTCTTCTCAACATCAAATTTAGCTTTTATACAACTTCTATAACTGTAGTCCCATGTTTCAAAAGGGTGGAAGACATATTACATTTATGCATTCGGCAGAGACTTTTATCCTAAGTGACTTACATTGCATTACACATTTACTTATCAGTTCTTGCTTTCCCTGGGAATCGAATCCTTGATCTTGGTGTGGTTAGCGCCAACGCTCTATTGTTTGAGCTAAAGCATGATACCTTTGTTTGCATATCCAGTTATCACCTGCTGCTGCGACAATCAAATGGAGTTTTTTGAAAATGATGTTAAATAATTATAAATAATCTGTATTCATATGTATTAATCAAGTTGATAACAACAATGTTGATATTTGTAAAAAAAAAAAAAAAGACATATTAATCAATTTCCTGCACCTGTCATAGACGTCCAAATGACTTCCAAACAAATGACCCAGTTCAAAGGTCAAATGTTGAACGTCAATATGACGTCCAAGTTGGGTCATGGTTGGACGTCCAAAAAGTGGACCTAGTTTGGACGTCGAATAGATGTCCAGAATTGGTCATGGACCGATGGACCCAATATAGACATGATCTGCATGCCTATCCGACCTCCAATGTTTAGTGGGCAGACTTGGTGAACAATGAAACTTACATTGTAGAAGGAACCCAAGCTATATCTACAGACCAGCATATCAGAAAGACTGTTGACCACCTAGAAACCACCAAGCATTGTTGTTTCCATGTGAATACCGTTCTCTCTAAGAACACAAAAAAAAAAAAAAAAATAGCCCATGAAATGAAGATAGTTTTCCATGTAAAACCCAATGTAAACTTCGGTTTTTACTTTTTACTAGGGCTATTCAGTTTTGTATGCCACAGACTCCCAAATATGATCATCCACATGCAAGGGACCACCATCCTAAAATTTAATAGGCAGCTAAAAAAAAAAACGTATAAAGACCCAATTAATACTCTGAAATACTGTGAAAAATGAATGTTATTTAGTTGTTGTTGTTTTTTTCACTGTAGAACTAATGTTAAAAGTTAGCTGTATGATTTTTTTATGAAATCATTTTAATCAAATTGTTTAATTAATTGTGTAATCAAATGTATAAAATTTTATTTATTTTAATATTTTTCATTTTAATAATTTTTAGTGACTTTGATTGTATTTTTATTTATTTAAATCTAGTTTTATTTAAATGTTTTTATTTTTTTATTTCTTTATTTTAATCAAAAGTATTAATTTAATGTTTTAAATAAAATATATGTTTTTTAATAATTTGTATTTATTTATTTTAATATAATATGTTTATTTGTGTTTATGTAAATACAAATATTTATATATTTTTTATTGTTTTATTTTAATCAGATTTATTTATTTTCCTTTTTTCACAGTTTTTCTCTAAAGTTCTCTAAGCTCTTCCACGTACCACAAATTTAGCAACTGATATTAAAGCAGATTTAACCATTTTTTATGTTATGGACATCATGTATTGACATTGAAAGCTATATTTCCTACCCATTGCTAGCACAGAGATGTACTTTAACCCTTGTGCTGCATTAGATTTTTTACGCCGTTGAGTGCGTTAAGGGACAAAAATGGCCACATATTAAACATTGCCTAAAATATTATATATTATTATTATTTTCCACTTTTACCAAGTTAAATCTTTTAACCAGCATCAGTCCTCATCATAACTACCAAATATTTATTTAATTTCAGGATTTTAACCCTTTAAATACCAGTTTTGGTGGCGATACCATCAATTTGTATAAGAGGAAAAAACACAAAAATGTAATTATTTTCCATACACTAAATGCAAAGAGAAAACTTTAGCTTTGGATTATCACAGTCTTGAATATGTCAAAGATTAGCGGCAACATTATTTCTGGTGCATTTAAAGATTTTGTGTTATGTCAGATTTAAAAAAAAAAATCCCACTTAGCGCGTTAAGGGACAAAAATGGCCACATATTAAACATTGCCTAAAATATTATATATTATTATTATTTTCCACTTTTACTGAGTTAAATCTTTTAACCAGCATCAGTCCTCATCATAACTACCAAATATTTATTTAATTTCAGGATTTTAACCCTTTAAATACCAGTTTTGGTGGTGATACCATCAATTTGTATAAGAGGAAAAAACACAAAAATGTAATTATTTTCCATATACTAAATGCAAAGAGAAAACTTTAGCTTTGGATTATCACAGTCTTAAATATGTCAAAGATTAGCGGCAACATTATTTCTGGTGCATTTAAAGATTTTGTGTTATGTCAGATTTAAAAAAAAAATCCCACTTAGCGCGTTAATGGACAAAAATGGCCACATATTAAACATTGCCTAAAATATTATATATTATTAAATATTTTCCACTTTTACCAAATTAAATCTTTTAACCAGCATCAGTCCTCATCATAACTACCAAATATTTATTTAATTTCAGGATTTTAACCCTTTAAATACCAGTTTTGGTGGTGATACCATCAATTTGTATAAGAGGAAAAAACACAAAAATTTAATTATTTTCCATATACTAAATGCAAAGTGAAAACCTTGGCTTTGGATTATCACAGTCTTGAATATGTCAAAGATTAGCAGCAACATTATTTTTGGTGCATTTTTATTTTTTTGTGATATGTAAGATTTTTGAAAAAAATCACACATAGCGCGTTAAGGACAAATTTGTTTCTATTTGAACCCATTCAAATATCTATTTTTGAACCCACTGTCATAATATCATAAATTCATAATTTCTATTCAAATACCCTGTCATTACCAAGCCTTGGGGTAAAATATTTACTTTTTACTGTTTTCCACCAGTTGGTACCATTTGTCATATAATTGACATACTGCAAACATCTGTAGTACTGCAAACATTTTCCTGATTTCTACTAGGTGATTATAACCTGTGCCTGTCTCACTACACATCAAAATTTGCTATAGAAAGAAAGCAAAACTACAAGATCACCATGAACATAAATTTTTATTTTTTTCTATAAACAATTTAATTCTATAAACATAAAATTAGTGAGGCCAGCAGGGGGTGCTCTCCCTGTGCTCTGTGTGGGTCCTAACATAGTGGGACACTATACTGTCAAAGAGCACTATCCTTCGGATGAGACGTTAAACCGAGGTCCTGACTCTCTGTGGTCACAAAAGTCCCAGGATGTCTTTCGGAGTAGGGGTGTAACCCCGGCATCCTGGCCAAATTTGCAGTATGGCTGCCGTCGCATCATCCAGGTGGAGCTGCACATTGGTGGTGGTTGAGGAGATTTCCCCCTTCTATGTAAAGCGCTTTGAGTGCCGAGAAAAGCTCTATATAAAATGTAATGAATTATTATTATTATTATTAAAACATATCAAAACTTCAAAACAAAATCATTCTTCAGCTCATTTGCAGGAGCTGCAGAATTGCAATGCATGCTCCTTACAGATGCAAATGCCACATTTTGAGCAGGTGGTGGAGATTTTTCTTTTTTTGTTAGGGCAGAAACTGCACCCCCTCCTCCTCTTGTCATGGATGTCTGCAGACCCACTTTCCTCTGAATTTTCTGCTCAGTTTGAAATTGCCGCACCAAAGATGTGCACAGCTTTATAACTTTTGCATCAACCGCACTTGTATGATTTCTCAACTAGTCTAATCCAAAACAAAGGCAGACTTTGTTTTGGATCCCTCGCAGCTACATCTTTGTGTTGCCGCAAGATGAAAGGTGTTATTATTGTCTAAGGACTGACTGCATGGCTGTGTTTGTGCCTCTACGTATGTGAGAAATTATCAATTAACTTTGAAACATAGACTGCTAAAAGAAAACGAAGCTGTGTCAAAGGTTCATGTCTGTGCGTAAAATACGCATGAATCAAACCGAAAGAAAACAATGCAGTGAGAAGCGCTTTCTCTTGCTAAATGCACACACACACACACACACACACACACACACACACACACACACACACACACACACACACACACACACACACACACACACACACAGACACACACACACACACACACACACACGCCTACACACACATCATACACCACTGACACACACACACACAGAGAGAGAGAGAGAGAGAGAGAGAGTAGACAGAAAGGGTAAAATATGACCTTCAGGATATTGTGATTTGTCACTCGCCTAAACACCATGTATTATATTTAGGCCCTACACACACACACTTTTGTCAACGCAGACACACATTGCTCCCAGACATCCACACATACTCAGAAACATAATTTTAGATCATTGAGCCATTAAAATGCTTCATAACACAGTCAATAGTGCCCCTAGTGGAAACCAGGAAAATAACATGCATTTCCACCCATAGGGAATACCTATGTAGTGACGTCATCTGGTGGAATACACTATATAATGCAAATGTAATGCTTTTGCTTCAAAATGAAAGGATGTTTCAACATAAATCATGATTCGTGTATTAATGATGGCCCCGGCTTTAAACAACGTTTTAATGGGTTTCAATGGGACATTTTTGTCCATTATGGTGCTGAGTGTTACTATTTGTTCTACACAGAGTGTGTTATACATATTTTGCAAAATGGGATAATTTTTTTACATTTATCTAAAAAGTCACAATTTTGCCAAATTACATACCATTTGCATTAAAACAGCCAAAATGGTCAAAGAAATTAAACTGCAAAAGACCAAAAATGTCCCTAATGCAGCACAAGGGTTAAGTTTGAAGTGAGTGAGTTCTTGATTTTGAGTGAGTTGTTATAGGAGGAGGCTAGCAACAGTTTACCAAATATAGAAGAAAATGACTTCCCCTAAAAGTTTTTATAATATGAGCTGTACAAAAACATTACAATATCAAGTGCAAACCTACACAAATAGCCATTTATAACCTGTTTTAATAGTATTATACTATAGATATCCCTATATGAAGTGTTTTGTGTGGTGTTTCTCTACATCCAGGGATGAATGCTGCTGTTCGGGCTGTTGTCCGTATGGGAATCTATGTAGGAGCCAAAGTCTACTTCGTTCATGAGGTCAGTCTCTAGTTCATCCATACGAAATTCAGATGATACTAAGACTGGTATGTATTTACATGCTGTATATACTTTGTGTAAACATTAAGACAAACTAGTGTCTATGTCAGTACTGTGTAACATATTGGTCTAATAGCTCTCGATGTTGCCCTTTCCAAATGGCCAATCATTTATTTCCAATATAAAAATGTTAATACTCAAGAGGTATTATGAGTATACACACAGCCTTTTTAGTTAAATAAGTCATGCATTATAAATTATATTAATCTACTACAGAGTTGTTGGAATAGCAGAACTGTTTTGAGTTAAAGGCCTAAATACCTGGTCTCATATAAACATGAATTTTCCATTAGCATCACATGGCATGTAAGCCCTGAGATGTCTGGCTGTGATTGGCCAAATACCTTCGCCCACTGTGCTCTTATGCAATGGCTTCAGTGAAGAAACCCACACATCCATTTTCTCCTGATTCCACCCTCATTCTTTAAGGTGAAACGTGTCATTTGTTAAAATGTTTGCTAAGGCAAGTGTTTGCAAGTGCTGCTAATGATGCAGAAATGACACACTTCATCTTTAATATCAAGATTGTGCCATGTAGAGACATTTTGTGAACACAAAGCCATGTCTTTGCCAAGCCAGAACATTGCGTGCCAATCTCAGTAAGCTGCTTCATACGATTACCTGCAGAATTGAATTCATTTCTGGTGACTAAGAGGTCATTGAAGGATAGGAGGATTTTGTTCATGTGTTTGTGTGTGTGTCTTACAGGGTTATCAGGGTATGGTGGATGGAGGCGACAACATCAAGGAGGCGAAATGGGAGAGTGTGTCCAGCATGCTGCAAGTGGTGAGTGTGATGAGAATCATACGACCCCTCAGAGCACTTATACTATACATACCTCTGCTCGTTCTGTCACAAGGTTATCGGTTACTATTCATAGTCCCCACAAATTTAAGGCCATATAAAAGTCTCAAATATCTTAAATGGTCTAAAAAAAGTCTGATTTCTAGAGGTATTTTGGGATAGAAAACAGGAATACAGCCTAATGTGATTGATTATTAGACTTTAAAAGGCTATGATTTAATTTAATGCGAGCGATGCACAACGTAACATGCGCTGTTGCGCATTCTATAGGCTTGCGGTTTCAGAGCAGTTCGCAATAAATTAATAATATCATGCATTTATGCCAAGCGATTGCTTATGATCAACTCTTGATCATTTATGAAAATGTTTACCTTCAGTGTTTATATCATAGATGCAAACGTGTTGCCTCGTTCTAACAAGCACTGCTGCTTTGTAAACGGGTTACCAGCGCAACCTACTGAGTGTTAGTCCGGTTCTGTTGTGGATCCGCGTTCAGTGCCGCTGCTGACGTGTGTCTGGTGCGTCCGTGTATTTGGGTTCAAAGAAATATGGCTGGGCAAAAAAATTCAAGTCTTCCTCTGTGTGGAAATCCTTAGACATGTTTGCGAAGATTGTTTTGTTTCCAGCGTGCGTCTCCCTCAGACTGTAAACGAAGCTCGGGCGCACCAGACACACGTCAGCAGCGTCTTACGTCAGCGGCGGCACTGAACGCGGATCCACAACAGAACCAGAATACACACACACACACACACACACACACACACCAGACACACGTCAGCAGCGTCTTACGTCAGCAGCGGCACTGAACGCGGATCCACAACAGAACCGGAAGACAATACAATGCTGAATAAAGTCGTAGTTTTTGTTATTTTTGGACAAAATGTATTTTCGATGCTTCAAAACATTCTAACTAACCCACTGATGTCACATGGACTACTTTGATGATGTCTTTATTTCCTTTCTGGACAAGGACAGTATACCGTACATACATTTCCAATGGAGGGACAGAAAGCTCTCAAACTAAATCTAAAATATCTTAAAAGGGTCATATAATGCCATTTTTGTACAAGCTAATATGATTCTTTAGGGTCTAAATTAAAAGTTGGTAATATACTTTAATTAAAAATTCTCATTAGTATTGTAAGAAAACAGTTATTTTACCTGGTCAAAAACAGCTCTGTTTTCAGCACGCGGTTTCAGTGCATATGCCTTTAATGATCATGAGCTGCGCTCACTCCACCCCTCTGTTCTGTGCGTACATGTTTATAACACAATAACCATAACGCGTTGTTCAGTATAAACGTGGGATTATGAATTATATTGAGAACGTCATACATAGAAAACATGCCGTAATGTACCCTGAGTGTAAACCTTAGACACATTCATCGTGAACCGTGCAGCTAGCGATTTGCAAAGATATACATATTAATATAAAGGTTAATAAAACGTTACACTCACTTCAGTTGTTCTAGAGGTTCAGCAGGAAACACGAATATCTGGTACCAATCCTTTTTTCATGAGCAGCTTCTTAGCAAAACCAGCTTTATACTGACCCTCGTTTATAAAGCAGTCTGGTGAGAAATGATTCGCGCAAACATGAGAGCATTGACGTTGCTCGTGGAGAATATTCCCTTCGAAAACAAACTCAGCCACTGCATCTTCAGCGTTTCGGATTTAGGAACATTAAAATGACTGTGTTCGTTATTACACCCAAGAACAGAACACCACAATCGCTTAGACGCCATTCTGCTCATAGACAGTGCTCCAGCATATCAACAATGACCGCGCCGGTCTGCGCGAACTATGATTGACAGCTCCCTCATGAGCGAGGGCGGGTCTGTGTTGAAACGCTCCTGTCATTCAACAATCACGGGAGGGGCTTCCGAGCGTGTGACGTCACACGGTCGAACGGCTCGATTTGAGGCAGGGGAAAACATATAAGGAGATTAAACAAAAACACTGGATGGATTTTTATCATTATATGATGGTTGTGTACAGGCACTGCCAACACACATTTCAGTACAATCTTTTTAAAGTCCTTAAAAACACATTTAAAGTCCTTACACTGGCTCCCAATTAGATACAGGATTAATTTTAAGGCACTCTTATTAGTTTTTAAGTCAATAAAGGGGATGGGACCTAAATATCTTCATGATATGTTTAAACAGTATACTCAACCAAGACCCCTTAGATCACAGCATAAACAGCTTCTACTAAAACCCATTGTTAGAACAAAACAAGGGGAAGCTGCTTTTGAATATTTCGGCGTCCATCTCTGGAACCAGCTTCCAGAAAACATTAAAAATGCTCCAACTATTACAATTTTTAAAAATAGATTAAAGACCAAGCTTTTTTCAGATGCTTTTTGTAGTTAATGCATAATGAATGTATGTGTATGTATATGTATATGTGTGTATATGTATGTATATGTATGTTGGTTCATTATTTAATATTTTTGTGTATTAATCTTTTTAATGTCTTTTGCTGGTGTTTTATATATATATCATTTTAACTATTTATGCCATATTGTGTGAAGCGCATTGTATTGCTGCTATGTATGAAATGTGCTATACAAATAAAATTGCCTTGCCTTGCCTTACAATCAACTTGAAAAAGTGCATGTAGCATTATATGACCCCTTTAAACTGTGTTCCGAAGATGAACGAAGAAGGTCTTACGGGCTTGGGACGACATGAATGAGAGTCATTAATGACATCATTTTCACTTTGGGTGAACTAACCCTTTAATGTATTTGGTCTTGGTGGACTAGATCTGTTACGCTGCTGCTGCTGATTTTGATTATTGCTGCTGTTTGAATGGCCTTGCAACTGCTAATAGATACACTGACATGCTGCTGTGGGCAATAGCATGTAAGATATGCTGCCGCTGCATAAACAGACATGCATAAATCTCGTAGCAGATCTAGGCAGGTAGAGCTGGGGGAGGTGGAGGGTTTCAGAGGAACTAGCTTACAGCAAACAATGAACCAGACTATTTAAATGTTGAGCAAGCAATCTCGTTGGCTGCAGGATCAGCAGAGGCTAGTCAGCTTGTGTCATGCTGTAATGATGTGATTGCTTGTAGATTGCATGTTAAGGACCTTTATTACTGGGGTTTCATTACTGAAATAGATATTTATAATTTTGACTCATCCTTTTTCTTAAAAAAATAGTTTAAAGACTGAAATGGGAGGTTTATCATTTTATGCAAGTGTTTGGCTATGTCAAAACCTGTATTATTTGAATTGTATTGTTACAATCATTATATTTACAGTCATTTTACAGTTTAAGATGTTACCATGGACATTGTCCTATACCTTACCCATAAAGGTATTCATTTTATTTGTGCAAGTCTTAAAAAGCCTTACATTTGATTTCAAAACCCTGCAGATACCCTTACCACCCGTGATCTCACAAGGAGAAACTGATATCTTTAAATGTCACAGGGTGCTCTGACCATTCAGCAAACACCAAGTAATGGGCCAATACCTTTTCAATCTCATGTTTACAATGGTTAAGATTTTGTGTGATTGTGTTTCAGGGCGGCACTGTTATCGGCAGCGCACGATGCAAAGATTTCCGCACGCATGAGGGTCGTCTGAAGGCGGCTCATAACCTGGTGAAAAGGGGGATCACCAACCTGTGCGTGATTGGAGGAGACGGCAGTTTGACCGGGGCCAATCTCTTCAGAGAGGAGTGGAGCGGCCTGCTGGCAGAGCTGGTCCAGCAAGGTATGAGCTGCAGACGACACAATAGAAATACAATTAGTTTATTGAGGGTGTTGTTGTTTTTTTCACATACAAAGAGTTCTAGCTATCTTTAGCTTAAAGGGTTAGTTCACCCAAAAATGAAAGTTCTGTCAGTAATTACTCACCCTCATGTTGTTCAACCCCGTAAGACTTTCGTTCGTCTTCGGACCACAAATTAAGATATTTTTGATTAAATCTGAGAGCTGGATCACTCCTCCATAGGCTTCTAAAGGTATCGAAACTGGCCGGCCCAAAAGTAATGAAAGACATCGTTAAAATAGTCCGAGTGACTACAGTGGCTCAACCTTAAGTTTATCAAGCGACGAGAATACTTTTTGTGCGCAAAAAACAAACAAAAATAACGACTTTATTCAACTAATCATTTCCTTCTCTGTTCGGCCGTGATATTTCACATAGTAAAACTACGCAAAGCTTCTAGGTTGTACGTCACGCATCACACACATGACCAGCGTCGGCCAATAGTGAGCCTGCGTGTAACGTGCAACCTAGAAGCTTTGCGCAATATCACTACGTGAAATATCACGGCCCACAGAGAAGGAAATGATTAGTTTAATAAAGTCGTTATTTTTGTTTGTTTTTTGCGCACAAAAAGTATTCTCGTCGCTTGATAAGCTTAAGGTTGAGCCACTGTAGTCACTCGGACTATTTTAACGATGTCTTTGATAAATTTTCTGGGCCGGCCAGTTTCGATCCCTTAAGAAGCCTATAGAGGAGTGATCCAGCTCTCAGATTTAATCAAAAATATCTTAATTTGTGTTCCGGAAATGAACGAAAGTCTTACGGGGTTGGAACAACATGAGGGTGAGTAATTACTGACAGAATTTTCATTTTTGGGTGAACTATCCCTTTAAATTTATCTGAATTTTGAAAATATTGGTAACTATTTAATTAGGCTTAAATTAGGCCAAAAAATTAAGATCAAACAGTTTGATATGCAAATAATAATTCAAAAATATTGTCTAGAATTTGATCTTATGAGCTTTCATGTTGCATTTTTTTGTTATTTTTTATTATAGATCTGATTGATGAGGAGGCGGCTCAGAAATACTCTGCTCTTCACATTGTGGGCATGGTGGGCTCTATTGACAATGACTTCTGTGGCACCGACATGACAATAGGAACAGACTCAGCCCTCCACAGAATCATTGAGGTGGTGGATGCAATCATGACTACAGCTCAGAGGTACTTCAACAGCACATAACAAAGCAGAATAAGTTACCAGTTGTGCAAGTTGCTGCCAAGTTTTGAATGATTCACATTTATTGGCTAATAATATTTTTGTGGTTTACAGTCACCAGAGGACATTTGTGCTGGAGGTGATGGGCAGGCATTGTGGGTAAGATTATTACATATTAGCCCTGGATTTGTTCAAAACATATTATTGGTATGTTTTTTGCGTTTTAACGATGAAATGATGCTGTCTACTGTCAAATCAGACACTGTTTTCTATATCTCTATGCGCTTGTGTATGAAGCTATCTGGCATTGGTGAGCGCCCTGGCATGTGGAGCTGACTGGGTGTTGATTCCTGAAATGCCCCCTGAGGATGGCTGGGAAGAGAAAATGTGTCAAAAACTCTCTGCGGTAAAACAAAAATACATAATTTCTACCAAATCTACATGCAGCACACGTGATATACTTCTTATGGTATTAGTGCTCACCCTTTCTTTCAGATTTATTCTTACTAGTTTTTCACCTGAAAAATCGTCAAAACCATTAAATATGCTTGTGGTTGTACACAGTTTTGTGGAAGTGATTCTAAAACTGTTGCTTATTTAATAAATTAGATGAATACAGTTAAGATTCACTCATGATAAAGTAGAATGTTCACTGAAATGTATAGACAAGTTTATGAGCCGTTTCCGCTCTACATCCTAAACTCCTCCCGTCGATGCAACCCACTTCCGTTCTGGCGGTCTGGGTTTGTTTTGCTAGCTAGCTTCGACAAAGCGCTGATATCGCAGTGACATAACAATTACAACATGAAGAAAGGTGGTTCGGGAACGATGTGTGTGATAGTTGGTTGTAAACACTCGAGAAAGCACCTGAACGAGTGGTTAGATAGAGAGTTCTACGACCGCAAACCAGCTACGAAGAGGTCCATGCGCTCCATTGTTTACACACAAACACACTCACACAGTATCGCGCCCGCGCCTCTCTCTCACACACAGTTCGATCGCCTAATTATTATCATCATGGCTCACACACACACACACTTTGCACTCTAGCTAAGAAGCCTATGATATAGTTCGGATCGTCAGGAGGACATTCACTGACAGCGCGTTCTCTTTTGTCTAGTCGCGCATGAGTGGTTAAAGCATTTGCGTGAATAAGAGAATGGTCATAACCCTAGCAAAAGGATGACAGAAAGAACAGATGTTGCGTTTGCATTAAATATTTTAACACGTTAAAGCTGGACAAAAATGAATCGGGAAAATATTTTTCTCACGGCCGCACGCCGGAGATCCGGCACGGTGGCGAAAAGTGATTGCATTATTTATTGCAATAAGTAGAGGCTTCAATCGTTTTGTTGTAAGTAGAATAGGCTACTGCATTTTAAGGGGTTAGTTTCGACATTTAAAGGTATTTTAACCGGTAAAATGGTTGGTTGGTACACAGCAGGTAAAACAATGCAGAGTCATAAGGATAATTGCAAAAGAGATCATGTCTTTATTTATAGCTCAGCAGTAAGTCATGTTATAGGTTACAGTCCGTTTTCCAAATACAAACACGTATTCCATCCGCAACAACATGCTTCTTTTATTTCCTATAATCATGTAAATGTCTTCCCTGATTAAGCTATAAACTGCAAACACTTATTTAGCCACAATTGTTGTTATTATGTTAAAAGAAACATTAAAGTAACACACAGATACATTTGCTATTACCACGGACATAAACTGATAGTTATTTGCACGTTATGTCTGTTTTATCTAGCTGTGTATGACATGACACAACCGACTTTGTTGCTGTGCAGATATTGATATGCCTCGACGGCTTTCAGATTGTCCAATTGCTTTTCCATCTATTGCCATGGATTGCACGAAGTAGGAGCAAATCTCGCTGTACGTTATGCTGGGCCACGTCGTCATGTTAGTGTTCTGCACTGAATTCGGGTGGGGGATAGTAACGCCATCTCCAGTCGTGGAACCGTCGCTGTGTACACCGGCAGACGCTGTGTGCAAACCTCTTCCGGCGGAAATGAAGTGCATTTAAGTAGAGTTATGGCGGCGCCCATGATTTGGCGCGTAAACTTGTGTATAGCTTTCCATCACTACTTGCTAGAGACGTAGCTTCCTCAGTAATTTACAGTAATTCATCCCAGAGTCATCTGTGTACAATGAATTCATTTTCCACTTCCAGAATTGATTCTTCTGTTTGTAACATGCCTATGTTTTTGTGGAACAAATGTGTTCACTGCCCCAGACTCGATCCAGAGGTTCAAGGTTGAACATAATCATAGTCGCTGAAGGAGCCATTGACAGACATGGAAAAGCTATTACTTCTAGTATAGTCAAGGATGTGAGTACTGGATGTTTTCAAAGGGAGAGAGCAAAAATCTGGAATCCTCTAGAACTGCAGTTGCCCATCTCCAATAAAACTCCAAAAAGACCTGAAGACTTGTTGCAAAAACATGCTTCAAATTCTACCACTTGCCACACGATGTACAAGGGCTTTCACACTGACAGTGATAAATGGTGCACAAATCATTCTTTTTCAATAAGATCTGGCAATTTGAGGCATCATAATCGACAAAGATCTTTGGCAAAGTGTTTAGCACAACTGCCTAAAGCATTTGAAAACCAAGTGAAGTCTGCGAACAACAAAAACCTCGACCAACAAAAAGTAAAGTGACTTGTGGACCATGATCAACAGTAAAGGAACTTTTCGATCCAACAAAATAGGGACTTCAAGGCATTGACTAACAACACAGACACTTGGAGACATCGGACAACAAAACAGTGACTTGTAGACATTGACCAACTGTACTGCAACTTGGTGACCTCGACCAACATTATATAGACGGCCACTTGGAGATCTCGACCAACAGTACTGCAACTTGGTGACCATAACCAAAAGTGTAACAACTTGGTGACCATGATCAACAGTACAGCAACTTCTCAATCAACAGTATAGCTACTTTAAAACCTTGTCCAACAGCACAGCCACCTGTAGTCCTTGACCAACAGTACAGGGCATTGGCGACCTCAACCGAAAGTACAGCAACTTGGCGAACAATTCCAGACCTTGACCAACAACACAGCCGTGTGCTGACCTCGACCAAAAGTATAGCAACTTGGAAACCTCAACCAATAGAATATGAACAGTGACTTGGTTACCTCAATCTACAGTACAGCAACTTGCTGACCAATAGTATATTGACTTTAAGACCTTGACCAACTGCACAGCCATTCGAGGACCTCGAACAACAGTATAGCGACTTGGTGACCATGTTCAACAGTACAGCAACTGCTTGGCCAACAGCACTTGAACAACAATATAGAAACTTGTAGACATTGACCAACAGTACAGCAACTTGCCAACCAACCATGTACCTTAAAGACCTTGAACAGCAGTACAGCCATTTGGAGTCCTTGACCAAAAGTACAGCGACTTGGCGAACAATTTAATTGAATTGCTGTTAGAAAGAATGCACCTTAACTGGGTCGTGTGGTGTAGTGGTTAAAGATCTGGGTAGGTGATCTTGCATGGAGCAAGCCACTGTCATTACTTTGAGCAACTTGAGCAAAAGTTGCTTTATTAGAAATGGTGTTTCAGTAAGTGTCTATTTACTTCATGGGCCACTTCTGCAGCCTCAATTCCAGCTTTTTGAATCTCTCCCGTTGTTTTTGTCATCAGTTTGTGACCTGTCTCTTACCCTCATAGAAACGGGCAGGAATGAAAAGGCTGAATATCATAATAGTAGCTGAAGGTGCGATTGATCGTAACAACCAGCCCATTACCTCAGAACATGTAAAGAATGTAAGTACATGGTGTATAGAGATCCAGCTCCTGCATTGATCCCTGACCTCTCTGAGCTCTGTGTGTGCTCCCTCTCTGGCTTTGTCCTGTGTGGTTTGCTTAAACACACCCACACTCTTTTCTGGTAAGGCACATGTGGTCACCTCGAACATAACCAGCTATGGCTATCCTCTACTTACTGTAACTACTGCACGGCATCAGTGCATAAGTGTCTTGAATGCTACCCGAAGCAGGAGCATGCGACATTTTGTAGTGCTTTACAGTTCAGTCTTATCTGTTCTTTTCTTTAGAATAATTTGTGTTACAAGGAACATTAGGTAAGCGTCACCATTAGCATTGCTCATACTTTATTTTTAAAAACCTCTAACCCTATATTTTAAACTTCATTGCATATATTGTCCCACTTTATTTGTGCAACTGAGACTAACGATACACTTGCAACAAAAAATAATTAACTTAAACTTTCCAGAATACCATAAACTACTGTATATGTGTGGGAGCCTAAGCCTTATCATGGGACAAAATATCATAGAAATATGGGAATTTTCTTCAGACAGACAATGTAAGAATCTAGTTTTAGTCATGCTTGTGGAAACTTTATGTTTTCTTTGTTCAGGTTATAAATAGTGAAATGAAGTACATTTCCTCACCCTGAAAAAGGTCCTGCAGGAGTTGAATTATTTACAATGTTTACCACCGTCTCTAACACTAACCGCTAAAAGATGGGTTCTAATTTACTGACTAGCATGGGACGCTGTTCTGATTTCACCAATTAATGCTAAATCTCTTAATCTGCATGTGTGTTGCAGCTTTCTTGTGAATCTTTCTGCTAAATGCATGTAGTACTATGACTGATTTGTGTCTTCTGTGCTTGTACTTCGGTTTATCATTAAATTACTTTATACTGTATACAATTTATATTCAGCAAAACATATAAAGGAACAGTTCACCCACAAATTAAAACTCTGGCATTTTTTACTCACTCATTAATGTCTCATATGACATTGTTTTTTCAGTAGAATGCCAGAGGAGATGTTATAGGTTAACGCAGCTCTTTTAAATACAACAAAAGTGTACGGTGACCAGGGGCCGTCTAACTTTTAAAAAGACAGAAGCATTATAAAAGTGGTCCATACGAATCATGGACTGTATTAAACTGTGACCTGTTCTTAACACAAAGCTAAGTTAAAATCTTAAGCTTTAAAATCGTTAAGTTTTGGGTTAATATATATATGATTTATAAACATTATGAAGAAATGTTGTACTTCAAATTCAAAATGCTCATAGACATTTGCTCTATTTGGAATTAAATGTTATCTTGCGTGATGGACAAGACGTTTTGTTGACAAAATATGACCTAAAACCTCTAAATTCCCTTGATTCCTATAATTCAAGTTTAAATCTTCTTTATTTCCTTTTCCAGCTGGTGGTTCAGTGTCTGGGCTTCGACACGCGTGTGACCATCCTGGGCCACGTCCAGAGAGGAGGGACCCCCTCAGCATTTGACAGGATTCTGGTGAGAAACTCTTTAGGATAAAAACAGAAGGGTTGTGGGGAGCTTACATTCATTACATAAACAGATTTCATGTCCACACACTGCAATTGCTCCGCTGTTCTAAAGTGCACTCTGGGGAACTGAGACAAAAATAATGCCGGAAAAGAAAGGCAGCTTCTTTCCTAAGTGGTCCATTTATTTTCAACATTATGTTTATGTACATATTATGTGGCATGCTGTCGATTAACACAAACAACACTTACAGGAGGAAAAGTATAATAACCCTTGGATTCAACATGCATAACTTGGTTCTTGAATAAGCAACAGCAATAGACAAACACAGATAACACACAAAAAAAATATTTCCTCTTGGATATCTTTATCGAACACATTCTCAGTGCTGGGTGGAAACCATATGTAAATCCCTAGGGTGATTTAAAATGGAATTTTCTGTAAATGAAACTATTTCTATGCATAAAGTGAAGATTACATTTAAGCAGGCTAAAGCATTACTGATTGCAATGCTGTTTCGTGTTTGTTGTCAGGCCAGTCGCATGGGTGTGGAGGCGGTTCTGGCGCTGCTTGAGACCACTGCAAACACGCCAGCCTGCGTGGTGTCTCTGTGTGGGAACCAGTCTGTGCGGCTGCCCCTCATGGAGTGTGTGCAGATGGTAAGGCTTGGACAGATGCCACATCGGGTTTAGTGCTGTGATGATAAAGATCCACGCTCATGCAGTTCAGCAGAGGAATGAGAGCATTGCATTACTGCCGCACTCATGAATCACTCTGGCATTTGCATCCCTATGAGCTGAATTGAATTATATTTATTTACATTTAAATATTTAATAACATGTCATTGTATATTTAAATAAAAATTATAATAATAAAATAAAAAAATATATAAAAAATATAATTAAATAAAATGTGTCTGGACAGGTTGATTTACATTAATGGAAAATGTGCTTCATTGAAATTGACATTATTTTCACATTCTTTGTGGAAAATATTATTGTTTCTTTCGATGTTGATATGAAATATGACCCAGACAGTGTTTCCAACAAATCAATTCAACCCCAACATAATACATGTCATAATATCATTCTAATGGAAGTGCTTTTTCTGCCTTGTAGACTCAGCAGGTGCAGAAGGCCATGGATGAGAAGAAGTTTGAAGAGGCAGTGCGGCTACGTGGCAGGTGCGTTTGCTACATTTAGTTTGAAACTTTGCTACTTTTAGTAGCTTGACTGCAGTTTAACTTTGACTGCGAGTAGCATGCACATTGCACACTGCTTTTAGAAAGTTTTGGGTTGGTACGATTTTTTAAGATTTTATGAAAGAATAGTCTTGTGCTCACCAAGACTGCATTTATTTGATCAAAAATACAGTGAAACAGTAATATCGTGAAATATTATCACAGTGTAAAATAACTGTTTTCTATTTTAATATATTTTAAACTGTAATTTATTCCTGTGATCAAAGCTGAACTTTCAGCATCATCACTCCAGTCTTCAGTGTCACATGATCTTCAGAAATCATTCTAATATGATGATTTGATGCTCAAGAAACATTTATTATCAATGTTGAAAACCGTTAAAGTTTTCGGTAACACTTTACTTGAAGGGCTGTGCATAAGACTAACATGACACCTTCATAATCATGACATGACACATGTTATGAATATGAAGGAAGTTGTATGCATGTTTATGACAACTGTCAGTCATTAAGTGTCATTCGCTCAGTTATGTCATTTTTAATGCAAATATGACATTGTTTGAAATGTCTTTGTTATGACACCTTGACATAAACAAATACATCATAACCTGTCAGGGTCTTTGTCATGACAACTTGACATTACTAAGACAACACAACCTGCCATAAACATGACACAGCAGATTAATGATCAAACTTAAGAAACCACTTAGCTTTATTGGTTAACATTACATTAAACTGTCAGGTGGTTGGTTTTGACATTGGCTGTCATGAAGCCATTATAACTTTTTAATGACAAATTGAATGTGTACCACTGTAGTTGAGGTCACGAAAAATATTCATGACACAGTTATAATGGCCTCATGACAGCCAGTGTCAAAACCAACCACATGACAGTTTAATTTAATTTAATGTCAAGTTGTCATGTCAAATACACTGACAGGTTATGATGTTATGGTTTATGTCAAGATGTCATAACAAAGACATCTTAAACAATGTCATATTTGCATTCAAAATGTCATTATTGAGCGAAAGACACTTAATGACAGTTGTCATAAACATGCATAAACCCTACTTCATATTCATGACATATGTCATGTCATGGTTATGAAGGTGTCATGTCAGTCTTATGCACACCCCTTCAAGTAAAGTGTTACCAAGTTTTCTTTCAGGATTATTTGATGAATAGACAACATTTATTCAAAATGGATTTTTGTTTGTAACAATGTAAAAGTCACTTTTGATCCATTTAATATATCCTCTAAAACATTTTTTACTGACCCTAAACTTTTGAACGGTAGTGTGTGTATGTTGTATTCATTTTAACCATAACTACAAATATAACTCGTATTAAATATAAGAATAACACGTTTATGTTTGTGTGCAAATGCAGGAGCTTTGAGAACAACCTGAGGACTTACAAACTGCTGGCTCACCGTAAACCAGAGTCTGAACTTCCACACGTGAGTGTCGGACCCTGAGAGGGACGCCGGGTTTGTTTTACCCTGGTGATCTTTTACTCCATCTCAACACAACACCACCTCTGTTGACTGACATCAGCATGCTGTTAGGTCAAACTTAGCTATTCACAACCCTCAGTCCATGCCACCCCTAGCAGATGCTTCCAGTGGAAACCAAGATTAATTAGTCCTGTCACACATCCTGTGTGAATGCTTGTGGATAGTTATTTTTAGCTCTGTTCTCTAGCTAATATTATATCAATGGCACAATATCCTTAAAGGGCACATTTTTTGTAGCATTTATTTTTAGTGATCTAAGTGATCGGAATCATAATTTTCAGTTTTTTTCAGATAAAACTGAGAAAAACAACAACATGGATTCATATTAAAGGAAGCAAGCTATATTTAGAGACCAGAATATCATATCATTTTTGTAATGGACTCTTTTGAATTGGGCAATCTCCCAGAACACCCTAGGAACTACATAGCTATGCCCTGACAAGCATCCATGATACACTTGCATCATGGTGGCAACAACAAGTTTCTGCAGCTTAGATTCCACAAATGGTCTGCGTTGAGCATAAAACAATACAATAAAATTATGATAAATAATTCAAATAATTAAATCCCATAATTCCAGACGTCTCAATAACTGATTATTCTTCAAGGTTTACACTTGTTATTACCAATGAATGTTACAATTTTTTTTTATTACAAATGGCAATTTCTCGACAATTTATTTCCAGGAAAATATGTTTGAGCTTGACATTAACTGTCCCATCTGTTCCATGAAGACATTTACATGACTTTTCCACTTTTAAAAAGTTCCCTCCAGGTTTTCCAAGACCATGAAAACCCGGCATTAATGATTCCATGAAAAACTCCCATTTGGAAAGTGTACCAAGCAAAACCATTGGATTTTGAACCTGCCTTCATCCCATTTTCAGATTTCTGCTTTAGAAATGTATGCAAACTAGTGCATATTTAAATAGATAATGCATCATTTGCATATTTAATCATAACATAAAAAATTTTTAATACCTGTGGTGTCTTGCCTTTAAAGGGATAGTTCACCCAAAAATGAAAATTCTGTCATAATTTACTCACTCTCAAGTTGTTTCAAACCTGTATGAGTTTCTTTCTTCTGCTGAACACAAAAGAAGATATTTTGAAGAATGTTGGTGACCAGACAGTTGCTGGACCCCATTGACTTCCATAGTAGGAAAAAAAGATACTATGGAAGTCAATGGGGTCCAGCAACTGTCTGGTCACCAACATTCTTCAAAATATCTTCTTTTGTGTTCAGCAGAAGAAAGAAACTCATACAGGTTTGAAACAACTTGAGAGTGAGTAAATTATGACAGAATTTTCATTTTTGGGTGAACTATCCCTTTAAATAAGAATCTGGATTTTTAGCCGTTTTAGCTTACTTAAAATATTTGTCTTTTCTTATTTTAAATAATTTTAAGCTATTTTGTGGAAGCGTTTATAAGTGGTGGCTGATGCTTAGTATATTTTCTGTTGCTTTTCTAAAAGCCTTGCGTAGAGAACAGGAGTCTTGAATGGAAAAGCTGCTACAACACAGTCAGAAAAGTCGAAAGGGCCGCTTGTCCAGAAGTGTTCAGTCAATAATCATTCTCTGATGCTCCGGGCTGTGTGTCGAGTAAACGAAAGACCAAATTACCCTGCGCCTATTGGAATGGAAAACAGATTGATGAATGCCAACGGCTGGTTGGAAACATAGTTAAATTCCTAATAGGCATTGAGTGGTAAAAACAAAAACATGAGGATGATCAAGAAGCACAAGGCCACAAATATATAGACATACCTGCTAGTTATATAAATGAATATGACCATTTTAGTTTGCTCTTCACATCAGCCCACATGTATCCATCAGGACGCTTGCTGTATTTATTATAGACAACTGAACATAAGTCAGTAATGTAGCTGAAGCCTCGTATTAGCAAATGCTCGAGAAATGACCTAAATGTAATTTATTGACATATTTGTCAGCGTAATGAGCGATGTTATGTCTTCTTCCCCCATTCAGAGCAATTATAACGTGGCTGTGTTGAACGTGGGCGCCCCCGCGGCGGGCATGAACGCAGCCGTGCGCTCGGCTGTCAGAGTGGGCATCTCCGAGGGACACAAAATGTTTGCTGTCAGTGACGGTTTTGAAGGATTCTATAAGGGACAGGTAAATAAATATTTACTTTTATATTCCAGTATTTAAGAATCATCCAGTAGGATTTATACGCAATGGTTTATGGGAGTCATTCTGTAGGCGACGTAACACAAGAAACACAAACAATCATTACATATGAACAAAATCTTGTCCCACTTGGACCTCAAGGGGAAGCTGTTTATAATGCCAAAGGCCAAATGTGTTTTTTAAATGTATATAATATGATGTAGTAGAGGTTAAATAGTAGGATGGAGGATACAAATATATAAGTTGTATAGAGTATGCTAGTTTAATAGGCCAATAGGCTACATGTCTTTAAACATTAGTTGCTTTAGATACACTACCATTTAAAAGATTGTGAGAATATATATATATTTTTTTTTTGTAATTAAATACTTTTATTATTATCAAGGATGCATTCAATTTATCAAAAAAGACAGTAAATACATTTATAATGTCACAAAATATTTCTACAACAATATTAAGCAGAATGACTTTTCAACATTGATAATGTTTTTTTATTGAGCAGGAAATCAGGATCATGTGACACTGAAGAAGTAATGATGCTGGAAATTCAGCTTTGATATCACTGGATTAAATTACATTTTAAATTATATAAAATTTAAAATAAATGTTTTTACTGTATTTGTGCAGCCACATAAATGCAGCCTTGATGAGAATATGAGACTTCTTTCAAAACATTAAACAAATTTTACCTACCACAAACTTTTTAATGGTAGTATTCATGTTTTCATACGGCATTCAAGTTTTGTTGTGTGCACATTTTCCACATATTAACATCAAGGTTAAATAAAAAGCTTCCTTTATATAGGCCACATATACAAACATGAACACAAACACTGATTAACACTCACATCCAGTTGTGCCGATTGTATTGCTTCAGTAATAGCATTAAGAGCAGAGGGTACATTAACACGTTTAACCCATGAAAGCAGCACAGACAGCAGTGTCGCCACCTCTAGCCCTGCACTGCTGCTCTTTGCTCTGACGAAGAACACGACTGGATTAACGTAAACCAATTTACCACTGTAGTACCACTGTGTACTGATAGGGGGCGATGCGTAATCCCATTAGCCTTCTGCCGAGAGCTGTTGGAGGAATGGAGATAAACACAGAGCAACTAATTTCATTACATGGGCTGGGCCCTGGTGTAGAGAAAGACATGAGCCACTAATCGTCTTATTGAACAAACGCAAGGAGGATTACAAACTTGGGTAGAGTAAGCAGTGTCTCGTCATATCCATGTGTGTTATTATCAATAGCTTCAAAATGAATATTTTTTAACATCTTATTTTCTGCACTGCCCTGCAACATCGAGTTATTTTTTGCTAAGAGAAGTCTCATCCATGGCTGACCTCCATTAAGATCTCTTCAGCCAGTCTAATCCAATAAACCAGTGCATTTAGAAAGCACACGAGTGGTGATCACATTTATCCCATTTGCATCTCCATTTGAAAAACGTCCGGTCCTGGAGTTCCCCTGTCTTGCAGAGTTTTGCTCCAACCCCTAATAAAATATTCACCAGTATTCATCTTTTCATGCTGATTTAATTCATCTTTAATGCAGCGAGAAAGAAACGGAAAACATCATTAAGTTCTGTTGCTATCAAACTAACTGTAATTTAGCAAACTGTTGCTTCATTGATGAACATTAATGGTGGTGCAAAATGGATAAACCACATTACCCACGTCTTCCAAACCATACCAAACCCTACATATACACCGGCACCTCTTTATAATTTATATATATATATATTATATATATATAAATATATATATATAAAAAAAAAATTTATATATATAATTTAACTTTTCACTCTAACTTTGTTTAATCGTTTATTTAATATTTCCATTTATTATCACGGGTAAAGGGAATCGTTGTCTATCATTTGGCAATTGGTGATAAAAAAAAATGTTACAACAATATACTTTTTTTTTTTCGTTTTAAAGGGGTGATGAACTGAGAAATCAAATTTTCCTTGAGCTTTTGACATCTAAGAGGTCATCATATTATAAGAATATCCTGTAAGTTTCAGAGCTGAAAACGTCCTTGTTAGTCCAATAAAAGCTTTTATTGACATCAGGCTCAGCAAACGACTCGTTTTTCAAAGTGGGGAACTATGACGACAAAGAGGATAAAACACCACCCCCGCAGAAGAAGATCAACGCCTACTTCAACACGGACGGTTTAGCCCCGCCCACCGATTCGCGCATTACACGAAACTAGGGGTGTGCAAAGCAGCCGGTATTTGTATCTGTATTTGTATTTGTTGAGGGGGGAAAAGTATTCGTATTTGTATTCGTATTCGAGTAAAATTCAAAATAGGCCTAAAAATCTAGTTTGGAGTTGACTGGATTGTTGGGGGGGACGGGGGGGGGGGGGGGGCCCCAAAGCTTGACTAGCTTTCATAACGCACACACGCAAGGTCTCTCGCTCTCTCCCTCTCTCTGCCGTGCGCGCGCTACACGGTTTGGAGCACAGTATGTTCTCTCTCGCATGCGCGTTAGATTCCGGGAGATTTGAACTAATTTCAGGGAGCCGCTATCAATAGAGACTTGGGATGTCTGCGTACCATATAACTCCCACAAGTGCATACAATTCGACACAACTACACAAGCATTTTTTAACCGAACGTTAACGTTACTCTGTCAACAGCCTATTGTCTAAATTACCGAGCTAACAGAGCAAACAGAGCGAACATGAGAGCATCCGACTGCAGACGTCAATAATGCAGCGTAATGGAATAATCTCCCGATCAAACTCCGCTTCCCGAAAGTTATAAACTGCCTCCGGAACCCAGTTAAGGTACAAAAATCTATTCAACAAAAATAGTGATGCAGTTAAGTGTTTTTTCGCTCAGCCGAGCCCACTCTGTTGCTGTGTGGAGCAGCCTGTGTCAGTCACCTCTTCCTGAACCTCACTCACTCACTCCACTCATCCGTGCACGCACTGCGGTCTCGTGAGGAAACACAGCTTTTTGATATAAAGTTTTTCTTGTTCCCGAATACAATTATTTTTTCAAGTATTTGTTCGAAATAACTATTCGTAAAAAACACGTTATTTGTACCTTTCCGAATACCGTATTCGGGTTCGGCTCCACCCCTACACGAAACTCATTATAATATGCAAAACTGTTATCCACTCACAGCAGTGGGCGTTTACTTCCAAGTCTTCAATGCGAGACGCCCATAAAAACCGAGCGTTTTTGAGCTAGGCTCAAAACTAGGGTAGAAAATAGCCTATTACTTATTCATTTTGATGTTTTTGAATTTAAAAACCAAGGGAACATCATAAGCTGACCTCAGACAACAATATACAAAATTTAAAAAGCCAGTTCATGACCCCTTTAAAACATGAAGACGAGTCAGTGAATTTCATAACAGTGTTATGCCGGTGAAGAAGTCTCAATTTTATTTTAGAAGTCTTTTTTATTAATTTTTTTGCAGAAAATAAAAGTAAAAACTGACGAGCTTTGTTTTTGGCTCAAAAACAACGAGAGATAAATCCTACTTCAACGTGCTGATAACGGTATAACATATACTGTACGTAGTGAAAAAATAAGAAGAGAAATATTTTGTGTTAAACAAGTTGTTTTTGAAATAAAGCTGCTCTTAATTTTCATTAATGACTGATTATTGCGCTGTTCAGACATATTATAGACTGTTAATAATTTGAATTATAGGCCTATAATTTTATTGTATAATCGACCTAGATGTTTTTAAATCATTTTCAACGAGGAGTAAACTAATCTATCTAATCTTTTATTATCTCGCAGTGCGTCGGTTTTGCAGTGATGCACTATGAAATTATTGCGGTGCAAATGAATTGTAATTTCAATTTAATAATAAAAGTAGGCCTACCCTAATAATAATAATAATAATAATTTAATACATAAATTGGAAATGCTAAATCCTCTTGATATCGATAGGCTAGCTGATGCTTTTGATGATATCTCTGGTCTGGATACATGATATCATGGTATCTCATAGCATTTTCAGGCCCACAAAACGCCATTGTCGAGTTTTTAGTTGAAAATGGTGTTGTGTAAACGACCCATAACTAAGCTGCTCATTGGCATTTTGAAGTTTTAATAGTTCAAGTTCAAGTTCATTTTATTTATATAGCACATTTTATAGCAGCCACTGACTGACCAAAGTGCTTCACAGAACTACAAAATTAAAAGACACCAACACCATGCGTAGTAGCACATCATAGAACATTACAACAGATTAAGAACAGCTTAAAACGGGAGACCTTCAAGAAGTCTCAGAGACTATCAGTAGTAGAAAATAAAACAGAGAAGACAGTAACGGGTTTTAAACTAGTATCATACTCGAAGGAGAGAAATATAGAATAGACAAAAAAAAAAAAAAAAAAAAAAAAAAATATTAATAATAAATATATATACACTCACCTAAAGGATTATTAGGAACACCATACTAATACTGTGTTTGACCCCCTTTCGCCTTCAAAACTGCCTTAATTCTACGTGGCATTGATTCAACAAGGAGCTGAAAGCATTCTCTAGAAATGTTGGCCCATATTGATAGGATAGCATCTTGCAGTTGATGGAGATTTGTAGGATGCACATCAGGGCACGAAGCGCCCGTTCCACCACATCCCAAAGATGCTCTATTGGGTTGAGATCTGGTGACTGTGGAGGCCATTTTAGTACAGTGAACTCATTGTCATGTTCAAGAAACCAATTTGAAATGATTCGAGCTTTGTGACATGGTGCATTATCCTGCTGGAAGTAGCCATCAGAGGATGGGTACATGGTGGCCATAAAGGGATGGACATGATCAGAAACAATTCTCAGGTAGGCCGTGGCATTTAAACGATGCCCAGTTGGCACCAAGGGGCCTAAAGTGTGCCAAGAAAACATCCCCCACACAATTACACCACCACCACCAGCCTGCACAGTGGTAACACGGCATGATGGATCCATGTTCTCATTTTGTTTACGCCAAATTCTGACTCTACCATCTGAATGTCTCAACAGAAATCGAGACTCATCAGACCAGGCAACATTTTTCCAGTCTTTAACTCTCCAATTTTGGTGAGGTCTTGCAAATTGTAGCCTCTTTTTCCTATTTGTAGTGGAGATGAGTGGTACCCGGTGGGGTCTTCTGCTGTTGTAGCCCATCCGCCTCAAGGTTGTGCGTGTTGTGGCTTCACAAATGCTTTGCTGCATACCTCGGTTGTAACGAGTGGTTTTTTCAGTCAAAGTTGCTCTTCTATCAGCTCGAATCAGTCGGCCCATTCTCCTCTGACCTCTAGCATCAACAAGGCATTTTCGCCCACAGGACTGCCACATACTGGATGTTTTTCCCTTTTCACACCATTCTTTGTAAACCCTAGAAATGGTTGTGCGTGAAAATCCCAGTAACTGAGCAGATTGTGAAATACTCAGACCGGCCCGTCTGGCACCAACAACCATGCCACGCTCAAAATTGCTTAAATCACCTTTCTTTCCCATTCTGACATTCAGTTTGGAGTTCAGGAGATTGTCTTGACCAGGACCACACCCCTAAATGCATTGAAGCAACTGCCATGTGATTGGTTGATTAGATAATTGCATTAATGAGAAATTGAACAGGTGTTCCTAATAATCCTTTAGGTGAGTGTATATATACACCCATATATATAGATACATGCACACACATATATGTACACATATACACATATATATACCTGTACATGCACCTTATTTGTAGGCCAAAGAGAACAAGTGCGTTTTTAAAAGGGACTTAAAAGAAATCACAGAAGGGGCTATCCGAACGTCCAAGGGCAAATTGTTCCACAGCCGAGGCCCAACCACAGAAAAGGCTCGCTCCCCTCTACGTTTAAGTCTGCATTGAGGGACTTGTAACAGATTTTTTCCACCTGATCTCAGACTTCTTGACGGCGTGTAAGGTTGAAGCAGTTCAGTTAGGTAGCTAGGCGCTTGGTTGCATAGAGCTTTGTACACAAATAACAGGATTTTAAACTCAGTTCTGAAATGAATGGGCAACCAGTGAAGGGACCTCAGAATTGGGGTGATGTGGTCACTTTTACGACTATTAGTGAGGAATCTTGCAGCGGCATTTTGCACCAGTTGAAGACGAGCTGTTTGCGTTTTCGAGATACCGCAGTAAAGTGAATTGCAGTAATCTACACGTGTGGTGATAAAAGCATTAATGTACCCTTATATGAAAATGTTGGTCCAACACATTTGATCCACTCTGCTCTCTTTTCTCAGATAAAAGAGGTCAAATGGGCAGATGTTGGTGGATGGACGGGCCAGGGTGGATCCCTCCTGGGAACTAAACGGTATTTATCCCATATACAAAGTTGATATTGCCTGCAGATTTCAGTAATACAGTCGATTTTGAATGTAATGTGCTGTGTTGTGCTAAGTGCTTCTCTACAATGTTTTCACATTTCCAGAACGCTTCCTGCAAAGTACATTGAAAAAATAGCAGAACAGATGCGGAAGTATAACATCAATGCATTGTTAGTGATCGGAGGATTTGAGGTATGTTTTCCAGCCTGGACTTTAGTCATTTCAATAAATGATTCAAAAAATTAATGTGCTTTGCTGTTAATATTTTGTATAATTATTATAAGGTAGATTTTACATTTATTTTTGTATTTTATATTAATTATTGAAAATATAGTCACATAAATAGTATTAATTTATTAGCAATAAAACCTTTATATTTTTAATATTTATTTTAAATTTAAATAATTTTTATATTTATGATATACATATATATAAATTAACTTTTAATTCTCAATTTAAAAAGTCCATGACTAAGTTTTGTTAAGTTGCCTGCCCTCTTCATCATGTTTTCCTATGTAGCATCACCTAAAGCTTACTCTTCTTTTCATAATGAACATCCAAAATCATTCAAGAATGAGGTGATAATCACCTTCTTAGCAGGAGCTGGTTATCTTTCAGCTGTTGGAAATGTAACGTTCACACAGCTGAGGTGACAAATGACGCCATTAAAGACTGAACAATAACCTTCGATTGCAGAACAGCTCACCTGCTTTTCCAAAGTCATTTCATGCTGCTGAGTTCAGGCTCATCTTCTCTCTTTCTATACAGAGATCATCAGGATGTGTGTATGTATTTTAAACAAGTGTTTCTATCTGAAGTGTGTGTATGGAGTGGATCCTCCGTCTCATGCTCTCCGTCGTGATGGCCATGGCTTTCCACTCGGTTCCTTCCCAATCTTGCCTCGTCTTTCTCTCTCATTCTTTGTCTGTCCCCTCATTCCATCCCCATTCCCAGCACCGGTAGCGGTTCACTAAATCCCCGGATCTGCCCTGCAGGCCTACCTGGGGATCATGGAGTTGTTAGCAGCCCGCGGGATTTATGAGGAGTTGTGTGTGCCAATGGTCATGGTGCCGGCCACCGTCTCCAACAATGTGCCCGGCTCAGACCTCAGCATTGGCGCAGACACGGCTCTGAACGCTATCACTGATGTAAGTGAGGCTGGGGGACGCCACCCACCAGCCAATCACATCAGAGGCTCTGTCTTCTCTTTACAAGCCAATCAGGCTCCGCCTTATGTTTATCAGCCAATCACATCAGCCCAGGCTAGAAGTAGCAGGTCTTTCCCTAACCTAAAGGTGCGGTCACATTTACCGCCAGGAATTCTACCTGTTTATCTCTTGTCCAACAGAAAGCTGCTTGGTTTGAAAGTGACTTCTGCGTGAGATATGCTTCATGCATCACATCACGATATTTTCCCAAAATGTTGCTATTGTGACCACAACTTTAGGAAGCTCCCTAGTTTCAAAACAGGATTGTGTATGAAGGCACCTCCTAAGGGAACTGGTTTCATACAGGCGTCCAAAGCACGGTACTGGCATGTCTAATAATCTAAAATAATGAATTCATGTGAGCTTTAGAAAATTTAATGACTGCAGTGCTCATTTGTGAGTATAAATGAGTCATACATTTAGAAAATTTGACATTTATAAACTAAGGAAAATATCTATGCTGCCTCAAAGCAACCACATTAAGATATCTTAGTAGACAGGAAGGATGTTGCAAAATTAATGATTTCATTCATTACTTTATATGCGAGGCAAAATTAAACTAAGCTAGTTACTGATCAGCTAGCTAATGACAGACAATTCACAACAGAAGGATGAATATCACAAAGAAATGTCATATTTTAGCTTAATTTTCATTACGGCAAATAATAACCCTTATCGATTTGGGGGTGAAAGATGACCTGGATGTTTTTTGTGAGATTTATCCCGAAACATTTCTACACTAACCCTCAATGTTTTGGCTGATAAACGCAAAGGCGAGTCATTAGCTAACAGGTAAGTGGCGATGACATGATGGCGGCATGTTTTGAGCTCTGCTTTTTTTGTGGTTGTCATGTGACTGAGCCTGTGCTGTGCTATGATCACACTGCATTAAGCCGTCATAACAGATCGCTGAACTGGAATCTGTCTGCATAGTTTCATAGTTAAAGGTTTAAATGAACACAAGCCTTAGAAAAGCACAGGCCGCTGCAAACTAACTTTTTTCATATAAGAAATAGTTCAGCTTAAAATGATTTGTCATTTAATCACCCTCTTGTCCATACAAACTCCACTTTCTCTTGTCTGTGTAACTCAAATGCAAAGGTATTTTAAAGATATATTGGATTTTACCGTGTTCTTTTTCACACAAACACACACACACACAAAATTGAATGGAATTGAAATCAAGTTCGAAAAATGACAGCAAAAAAAAAGCACCATAAAAGTAATCTTTGTGACTTATGGCTCTGCACAAGAATTGACAAAGAACATTATACTTGCACAAGAAATGACAAAGAACATTATACTTTTGAACTAATAATCCCGCACATGACAAGTAAAAAATATCGGTAACACATTACAATAAAGTCCATTAGTTAACATTAGTTAATGTATTAACTAATATGAACTAACCATGAGCAATACATTTGTTACTGTATTTGTTAATCTTCGTTGATGTTAGTTAATAAAAATAAAGCTGTTCATTGTTTGTTCATGTTAGTTCACAGCGCATTAACTAATGTTAACAAGATTTGAATAAAGTATTAGTAAATATTGAAATTAACATTTACAAAGATTATTAAATGCTGTATAAGTGCTGTTCATTATTAGTTCATGCTAACTAATGTAGTAAACTAATGAACCTTTAAAGTGTTACCAAAATATCCCGGCCACTAATTAAGAATTTGTTCCCTTGAACAGTGCTGGGGAAATTTACTTTTAAAAGTAATACATTACTGGTCATGAACTAACTGCAGTTTCCTGGGGTGCACATCTAATGTTAGTATGATTTTTTTCATCAAAAATTGTCATAATTTAGAAATAAAAGGCATTTTTGCTGCCCTGATTTGAACCCTCTGATTGAAGGGGCGTGTCTGCTGTGGGACACGCCCACTGCTGTGATTGGCTAACATATTTTGCATATGAAATAAGTATTACATGGGGAACTCCCTCGAAAACTTTTAGCACGTTTTTACTATTACAGCTCTCAAGATTAACTAATCGAGGAGAGTGTTGGTTATAGCATTATATTTAGATCTATAGCATTATATTTAGATCGTGGCATGAAAGTTGCAGTGATGAGCATGTAGCCAATTGTTGAGCGCATGAATGCAGTGATCTCGTCTTTGCAACTCGACTTCTGCACACTGACGAATGCTTTCATCATAACCAACAGTACAAAGACAATATAAATAAGAGATGTGTTGATTTATAACCAAAGAGTATAGATTAAAGGGTCTTTATATTAACGGGAGTTTTGGCGAGTGTCCAGAACTCAGTCATTGATAAACTCGCGCTGTGTGATTGACAGCTCCAGCGATTGTAAAAGGGAGCGTTCTTTGATCGCTCTCTATATATAATTTAATCACAGTTTAAATAGCAGATTATTTTCATCCTACTAAGAGAAACAATGTGAAGTTGACCATTTAGTCATTGGTTTGATTTACTGACACATAGACAAAGAACATCTAACTGTACATGAATTATTTCATATCAGAAATCACTGGTCACAGATCAGGCATTATAATTAAAACTGTTCCTTACATGTTGTGGCAATACTGTCAATATCATAAAAGTCTGTTTCCAAACCTGCGCCGAAATTGCCACTGATTTACCAAAGAATCCACTGTGAAATGTGCTGAATGCAAATAACTAATGCTCAACTGAGACATTCACATGAGACATTAATTTAACCATGTGTTATTGGCGTCAAACCTTGTGTTATACGTTTTGGCATACCATGTTTGAAGATTTTCAGCAAGTTTTGGCTTAAATTTGTTAAAAAATTAAAGTTATTGCATGACTTCAGAAGATTTGGAATACAGTGCACAATTCATAAATCAAAAACCACAATAATGAATAGCAAAATAGCAATAATGGCATGAGGGTGAGTAAATGATGACAGAATTTTCATTTTTGAGTGAACTATCCCTTAAATATACTGATACTTTTGTATGGAAATATATGTAAGAAAGAAGACCAGTCGCAAATATGCAGATGTAGCGAAGGCATCATTACTGTACATTTTGAATGTTGATGTGTGGACTGGATCATATTGCTGCTTCTACTACAGTATGTTCAGAATACCTGCCGTCCCGCTTCAGTGTCTTGCCACATGACTACCCTGTGTGCATGTGAGTGCAAAAGTCGATCCCATCCCATCTGTACCCCCTTCCTCTTCCCTTCAACTCCCAAACGGAAGCCACGGCGGCCATCACACGGTGGGTGTCCGATCTACAGGGTCCGCTCCTGCACCAGTACTCCCTCTGCTGGTCTAACGTGTGCATTGTCCTGTCCCCTGTGGTCCCCTGCTGTGTTGTGCTGACCTGCCAAAGGCATTAGAGTGTCTGCTGCAGCTGAATGAGGCTCGGTCCCACTATGAGGAGTTTTGCATCCCGCTCTGTATGCTGCCTGCAACCATTAGTAACAATGTCCCCGGCACTGACCTTAGTATCGGGGCAGATACGGCCCTCAATGCCATTGTGGAGGTAAGAAAAAAATAAACTCATTCCTGTCTGCAAAGGGGACATTCTTAGGAAGCATTACTGCAACCCTGTCACATTACTTTTGGAGTTTATATAATTATAATTTCAAAAGAAAACTGTACCAAGCCTGTTAGCATTCACATTTTGGGGTTGGAATTGCTAAATGTCTACTAATGGTGTTAGCTTGCAAATATCACAATACTTACAGTCAGTATATATATTCCCATAACTAGAGTTGGCCTGAACAAGCCAAAAGAAGATTGAAATACTGATACACACTCATCTTTGAGTCATGTAAAAAAAAAAAAAACAGATTTCTCAGGTAATTATATTGTCAGCAAATACATTATACTGTTTTATAGAGTTATTACTATTATTATTATTATTACAAGTAAAAAAATATATATTCTACTGATAAACATAGGGGCATGCAAATTGGCTGATTTACAGTAAGAATACAAGTTATTTTGCATTACACAATAAACAAGGCTAAAGTATATTGTGACTGATTTAATAATAGCGCTAGTAAATGGAAACACACACAAAGCACACATGGAGTTTCCTAAGAATGACTCAGTAATAAAAGAATTCAGTCAGTTTAAACAGCATTATTTTTTGGAATAACAAATTGTATGGTATATACATTTTAGTGTGAGGGGTGTTATTGTGCATCATAAATTGTATTTTATTAGGAAGGTGCTTCATTATGTCATGTACAGTAAGTGCTCTTAAGCTCCTAAAAGCCCATTCAGTGTAGTTTGTCTTCCCAAAAGCTTAGACCTTGGCTTAGATTTACATGAAAAGTAAATATTATGTCTCTAAACTGATTTTTGATCGTGATAGTTACTAAGGAAAGGCATTTTAAGGTATGGTTTTAGACAAGTTGTTGCATGGCATGCCATGTATCTGGAATGACAGTGATTCAGCAGGCTTTAGCAATATTTGAAGCATTACTCTACAAGAAACAACATGACTACATGTGTGTGTTTGCCAGACATGTGACCGTATCAAGCAGTCCGCCAGCGGGACGAAGCACCGTGTGTTCATCATCGAGACGATGGGGGGGTACTGTGGTTACCTGGCCAGTGTTGGTGGTCTAGCGGCTGGAGCAGACGCTGCGTACATCTATGAGGAACCGTTTGACATCAGAGACCTACAGGTTACCAGCACACACACACGGTTAAACCGCTAGTGTCATAGTAATAAAATAAATGATGTAACATGATTCATAGATCATCACACATACAGTATGGTTATATAAACTTTGACTTAGTGCCAAGTTTAGTGCACTTATTAAACAGTTAACATGAGTGCCATGATGCCATCTGTTGGTGAAATGAAGGAACTGTTTTTCTCTTTACTTCAGTCGAATGTAGAGCACTTGACAGAGAAAATGAAGACCAGCATTCAGAGAGGACTAATCCTGAGGTATCTATCTATCTATCTATCTATCTATCTATCTATCTATCTATCTATCTATCTATCTATCTATCTATCTATCTATCTATCTATCTATCTATCTATCTATCTATCTATCTATCTATCTATCTATCTATCTATCTATCTATTCATTCTAGTGAAAAAACTATACCAAAATGTATTTAAAATACATTTACTTCATACTATGTATAGTACAAATCCATTAATATATTTACTGACATACTGCTTGAGACTTACTGATATAAAAATTTGAATTCAACTTTTTTTGGAGTACCTCTTTATTTCACAATGCACATTTCTTAATATTAAGTCTAAAATGTGTTTTAATACCATTATTTATGGAAGCTTGTTTCCGCCACTGAATAAAAAAATAATAATAATAGCGACTTTTTATCTCACAATTGCGAGATATGAAGTCGGAATTCTGAGAAATAAAGTTGCAATTCTGAGATATAAAGTCGCAATTGCGAGAAAAAAAAGACAGAATTGCTTTTTATCTCACAATTCTGACTTTTTATCTCACAATTGCGAGTTTACATCTCGCAATTCTGACTTTATAACACATAATTGCGAGTTTTATATCTCAAAATTCTGACATCTTTTCTCAGAACTGTGAGATATAAACTGCGAGCAATTGCGAGTTATCAGGCCAATTCAAAGGGGGAAAAGAATAGTTAATATCCTTCAGAATAGTTTATATCTCACAATTCTGACTTTACAACACGCAATTGCGACTTTATATCAATCAATTTTGACTTTATAACCTGCAATTGCGACTTTATATGACGCAATTCTGACTTTATAACCTGCAATTGCGACTTTATATCAATAAATTCTGACTTTATATCTCGCAATTCTGACTTTATATCTCGCAATTCTGACTTTACAACACGCAATTGCGACTTTATATCAATCAATTTTGACTTTATAACCTGCAATTGCGACTTTATATCAATAAATTCTGACTTTATATCACGCAATTCTGACTTTATATCACGCAATTCTGACTTTATATCACGCAATTCTGACTTTATATCACGCAATTCTGACTTTATATCACGCAATTCTAACTTTATATCACGCAATTCTGACTTTATATCACGCAATTCTGACTTTATATCTCGCAATTGTGAGAAAAAAGTCAGAATTGTGAGATAAAAAGTCGCAATTACCTTTTTTATTTTTCATTCTGTGGCGGAAACAAGCTTCCATAATTATTAGTAAGGATAGTATGATCTTTGTATAATACCAGTCTTTAAATGTAAGATATTTAAAGTTGACCTAAAGTATAGTTGCAATAGTTCCACTTTAGCATAATCATATATATTAAAGTATATCTTTAGTTGGGCCTCAGCACTATTTCTGGATAACTTTAAGTACAATAAGTTCAAAATTTGTTGTTCCAATTTAGTTTACCAAAAGTACAATTGCAGGGTATTTATATTAAGTATATAATATATACATGTATTTGTAGTATACTTAGCATAAAATAAATGCATTTCAAATATATTTTAGTATATTTATTTTTCACTAGATTATCTATCTATCTATCTATCTAATCATCCATCCATCCACCAGTTTCTCTGTCTATGTATCTATCTGGATGTGTGTGTGTCTTTCTGTATATCATGCATGTTTAGCATGCATCAGGACATGTTTCATCTCTTCTCAGCTCAGATGAGCGTATTTTGGGTCAGTGTGATTGAGATGTGTGAGCAGAGCCTCAGGCGTCCTGTCAGTCACAACACACACTCCTCACTCAGCCGGTGTGTGTGTGTGTGTGTGTGTGTGTGTGCTTGTGTTCATGCAGGAATGAGAACAGTAATGAAAACTACACCACAGACTTCATCTATCAGCTCTATTCTGAGGAGGGCAGGGGAGTGTTTGACTGCAGGAAGAATGTTCTGGGTCACATGCAGCAGGTACTGCACATAAATCACAAATCAAAGAACACAGTGGCCAACAGGAACCAGTTAACTCCAGTCTAATGAATCAATATTCTGGAGCAGACATACGGTTTCTTTTGCCTGCTAATTCAAGTGAACGAGCAAGAGTATTACTGTGCGTTCACGGCGCGGCGCGTCTTGGAAGGTGAGAGCGGCGAGGAGAGTTGAAGTCAGGTCAACTTTATGCTAATAAGCAATTGACGCGGTTCGGCGGCAACCAATCGGAATGTAGAAGTGCTCCGTTTGAGAGAATTCCAGAGAACGCAGTCCTGTAAACTTTGGTTCCGACCACATTAGTTCCCAAGCAAAATAAATTTGATAAGAAGGCGCGCAACACTATTTATAGGCAAGGTTTTCTTGCTAGAACACTTTTTCAGCAGGAATGCAAATTATAATAGCACTTAACCATGAACACAAAAGCCACACCACACAAATGGCTTTTAATTTGTTTATTTCATTAGCAAACATGTCACTATAATTGTTAAGTTCTTTCCATCGATTAATTTTCTGCAAAAATAACGATCGACACGCTTGTTTGCGTTGCGGCCCCTTTAAATACAGTTTTAAAAAAGACCACGCATTCGATCTACGTCAGAGCATCAACGAATCTTTCCACGGCATCGCTAGCAGGGCGGCGGTGTGAACGTATACGGTCATGATTGCTTAATACAAGGACAGCTTTAATCTATAAACAGAAAGAGTTTTGACACAAACCGTTTAGATCATACTTGTGCTGGAGAACTTTATACAGCAAGCATGCTTCTGTGTGCATGGAATACCTGGCCTATAGGATACATTAGTTTATATTTAATATACAATACTATTTATATACAATATAAATAAATTAATGTGTGTATATTTATTTTTCACTAGGGTGGTGCTCCTTCTCCATTTGACCGTAACTTTGGGACCAAAATCGCTGCTAAGGCCATGCAGTGGATCACCAAGAAACTGAACGAAAGCTACAGACAAGGTAGAAATGACAACAGTTATGAGTCATGTGGATAATGAAGCGGTTTCACCTGTCTGTAGAACTCAATCACCACTTGTCCTTCTTGTTGACCCGTGCTGTTGTACACAAGGCACTCAGTGACCGTCAGTGTAATCATGACTGCACACATACGCCACAGATGAGGCATATAGTTATTAAACATAGTCCTTGACCTTCATTTACTTGATTTTGAAATAATACTGTAGAGTCGCTGCATTTTTTTCAGCTAGTTTTGTGTGTGTGTGTTTGTGTGTGTGTTTACTTCTTTTGCTGTGCCTGTGGATGAATAAAGATGAAGGTAAACATTTGAATTTTATTCAGTCTTATTTGGTGACCTCAGTGAAAGAATGTCCTTCAGGGTATTAGTGTATTATCGTGGTGCAGCTATAGTGTACTTGTAAATATTAACTCTAAAGTTATATTCAAGTCTATATGGAAGCTTGTTTCGCCACGGAATACAAAAAAGTAAAAGATAATTGTGACTTTTTAATTTCACAATTCTAACTTTTTTCTGAGTTTAAATCTCGCAATTCTCACTTTTTTTCTTGCAAGTGCAAGTTTATATCTCACAATTCTGATGTTTTCCCAGAATGTTTAAATATAAACTCGCAGTAGCAAGAAAAAGTCAAATATGTGACAGAATTAACTTACGAGTTAACTTACAATTACGAGTTTATATTTCACAATTCTGAGGAAAATGTAAAAAAAAATTTTTTATTTTTTTTAAAAGTCAGAATTCTTAGATAAAAACTCACAATTACCTTTTTTTTTTTTTTTTTTTTTTTGTGGCAGAAACAAGCTTCCATAGGTTTACACATTTTATTTGTATTTTTTTGTGGATTTGTAATATATTTCCATTTATAGATACATTTTATTTATTTAATTTTGTTTTATTGCAAATAGACCAGGTAATTATTGTGAATGTTTGAATATAAATCATGCATTTATTTGTTATTTATTGATATAATGTAGTTATTCTCATATGCAAACTGTGACACCATATCAGAATCTTTTTAACTCTTTCCCTGCCAGCGTTTTATTTATTTAAGTTTGCCAGTCAGCGCCAACATTTTTGAGCATTTTCACAAAACTTTCATGGCCCCCAGAATATTTAGTTGTATGAAAATCTGAATATCCAGAGATTCTGTACTATTTCAGAAGGTGTGTAATAGCGCCCCCTACCGTATAACAGTGAAAACAAGGATTTGCGGAAAATTCCGTCAACGGCAGGGACCGAGTTAACTCTTCTCATTAGACTGTGAAGCATTTCTGCAGGAAGAGTGATTTTGTAAGCGCGTGTTAAACGTGTGTGTGTCCCGCAGGGAGAGTGTTTGCTAACACAGAGGACTCGGCCTGTTTGCTGGGCATGCGGCGTCGCGCTATGGTTTTCCAGCCTGTGGTTCAGCTGAAAGATGAGACTGACTTTGTGTATGTTCACACCACAGTTCTTCCATAAACCTGATAATTCAAATTTTTTTTTTTTTTATGAATAATATCTGACCCTCTGTTCTGTGTGTTCAGTCACAGAATCCCTAAGGAACAGTGGTGGCTGAAGTTACGTCCACTCATGAAGATCCTAGCCAAGTACAAGACCAGCTACGACGTGTCAGACTCGGGACAGCTGGAACACGTGGCCCTGAACCGACCCAGAGAGTCTGAGGCCACGGCTGCCATTTAAACTCATCCAAATATCGGCGGCGTTCAAAGGTCACGCTTCAGACGGGCCTGTCTGTCCCGCGAGCGCTGTCGCCGACGCTTCTGTTCTCCGGGCCCGCTTTTTTTTTTTGTCATCGCTGTGTTGGAAAAATGTCACCCTTTGTTATTTTACAGAAATCAGTGTTAATCGTAGGAGAGTGTAAGACGCTGTGCGGTTTGGTTTGACTGTGTTATGCCCTCTCTCTCTCCTGTCGCTGTGCTCCGAGCGACGCACTCGCTGTCACCCCGCCATGTCTGCAATAGTGTTACGCTTCAAAGCACATTTCTCTCTCTGAAGTTCTCAGAAAGAAGGAAAAATCCCACTTTCCGGTGTCAAGCGCTGTATGCGGCGAGGTCCACATTGCTAGAGCACCGTTTGATGTTTGAATGTATTGCATCAAGTGTTAACATTTGCCTGACCAATAAAGACCACAATCACAAAGTGTGAAAATCAATGTCTGCTGTTTAATTTTACACATTAACATACTTACCATGAACATATGCAACACTGGTTTTTTTTTTTTTCTTGCATCATGTGCCATTGAGTACCATGTAATGAATACTGTGTAGAGTAGTGATGGGTCGGTCGGTTCATTTTGAACAAATCTTTAATATGACTCGAGTTGTCTCAGAGAGTGATTCGTTCATTTTGTGTTGACCGCACAACATCCTATAGGTTCTGTACTGGAAACAGAATGATTAGTTCTTCTTTTGTCAGGTGACATGATGTGACAGCGCTGGACACATAAATGAGAACTATTAATTCCCAAACTTTATTATAAACAAGCGCTTAGTCAGTTTTTTTAACAGGTAGGCCTACGTTCTGCGTTGTTGGTCTTAAATTATAGCTTTTTTATTTATTTTTTTTCAATTTATAATTGTTTAGAATTTCTGTCATGATGGTCATTTTCCACATGAATGTGGTACTAAAGAGTTGGTAATGCTTTAAACTGTATCTATGATGGGGAAAATCACTTTAATAAAGATATTTATTTATAGGTCATAGGCCTATAGCCTAATAACAACATACAGTTAGCCTCGTGACATACAACCGAAAAGACTCAAACCCGAAGACTCGCGAGATGAACTAATCAATTCTGTATCCGGTACCGACTGCATTTCTTATTCTAAATGTGATGATGTGTTTGGGGAATTTGGCTATTGACGTAACATTTTAAATACATTCTGCTGAAATGAACGAAATGACTTGAAAAAGGATTTGTTAATTTTGATGAACGAGATTCAAAGATCCGAGTCAGTAAAATGATCCGAACTTCCCACTATAGTGTAGAGCTGCACGGTTAATTATTTAAAGATGGCGATCTCGATTCAAACACTCACACGATCTCATTGCTAAATGACAACGATTCGCCTGTGTGTCTATGCTTTAATTAACAATAGGCTTTATGCCGAGCGTCACGTGACCAAACCGGAAAACAGGTCTCATTGCATCCGCTTGTCAGAGAAAGTGTTAACGGCCGTAAGAACTAACTACAATATCTATGGATTTTTAAGGTAATCAGCTAACCTACTAAGTTCACTTTGTTATAGGTGTTTTATGCTATTTAAATATCTAAACGTTAGTTTGAAGAAGAAAAATTAAAAAAACTTTTAAATATCAATCTGCACATGCGAGGGACATTGGTTATGCTCATTTTTGCTTGCTCCTTTTAAGTTATCTTGAGTAAAACCGCAAAAAAATTCATGAAGCACATACAAAAGACCTGAATCGGAAGCGATGTGATCTGTTTTCCGGCTTGGTCACGTGACGCTCGGCATGAAGCCTATTGTATCAATTACGTCGTTATGCCACCAGTGGGGGCGAAAAGTGACTGTTAAAAAATGTATTTTTCATGAATCATTCATTCAAGAGATTTGTTCAAAAACGTTGATTCATCCCGTAATGGAACAAGTGAAGTATTTATGAGAGTCATTAAATCATTCATTCAAAAAAAAAAAAAAATTCAGATGAATTAAACATTTCAGACTGCAGCAAATAACATACATCAGAACCTCTAGTAAAAGTATTTATTTTGTTTAGTTGGGAGAACAGTTGTTCAGTTGTTCATCTCTGTTTCAAACTAGAAAATCGTAATTCTCAATTTAACTAGAATTGTTCTGTGGTATAATGTGGTACAGTAGTGGTATACAAATACCATGGTATAGTAATGGGGGGTTTCAAACATTGCTTCATGAAACGTATACGTATCAAACTCCAAAGTCATGGGATTTCAGTAAACGAGGTTTCATTACATTTCTACACTGATTCGAAACATCTCAAAATGTCAATGGTTCTCCGCTAGGGGGCGATGATCACTGAGAACCCATGAACCAGCGTCGATATGGTTTTTACTTGAGCTCGGCTTAGGTTTATACATTTGTTAACATTATAATGACATATTTGTCAAATAAAAAGAAAGAGTTGTTGTTAGCCTCTTATTAGCCTGATTAACCGATTTAATAAAACAACACATACAGACACTTCGATATTTAAGATGATTTGTTAATTGCACGTTGATTACACATTCAATAACATTTGCAGTTGGTTTGTAAAAAGTGTTTTATGCCTGTTTGGGTTTTGAGTTCTGAGTTTAGTTGCATTTACAGCGTTTTGACCAGCATGTGGCGGTCCAAGTGCTTCCAAACAGTGGATCATTTTGCGACGCATTTGATTCAAAGTTTTGAAAGCTTCGTTTCTCCCATCACTACCATGGCATTTGAAAATGGCAATATTTCTGTACAATGGTACGATGCTGAAAGAAAATTCACAGGGGCTTGGGGCAAAATTGACTACATTAAAATGTCGAGGCTGCTCTCACTGGGGCTCTCTCTCCTTTTTTTCTTCGCACTCTGAAAGAAAGTGACCTTCAATGGCCAGTTTCCCACAATATAGCCAATTATTACTGATATAGCTATAATGGCATCATCAAACGAGGAATACGAGACAAACCTACGAGTCAGTTCTTCAACATTTGTGCTGGAGACATAACACAGCTCCTCACTGCCCAAGCTGTATGGCAGGTTTACACACACACACACACACACACACACACACACACACACACACACACACACACACACACACACACACACACACACACACACACACACATAAAGTCTGTAGTATTTCTTTAGAGGACTGGCATTTCACTTCGCTTGGCGTTCCTCTAATGGCTTCCTATAGCTTCTTAATTGCCAACTCATCGGCCTTGAGTGTGGCATAATGGACCAAGTTGTCAATGTCTCTTGCTAAGCCCTTAAAGGGGTCTTATAATGGCACATGCACTTTTACAAGTTGATTGTACTGAAATGTGTGTTGGCAGTGCCTGTACACAAACATCATATAATGATAAAAATCCATCCAGTGTTTTTGTTTTAATCTCCTTATATGTTTTCCCCTGCCTCAAATCAAGCCGTTCGACCGTGTGACGTCACACGCTCGGAAGCCCCTCCCACGATTGTTGATTGACAGGAACATTTAAACACAGACCCGCCCTCGCTCATGAGCGAGCTGTCAATCATAGTCTGCGCGGACCGGCTCGGTCATTGTTGATATGCTGGAGCACTGTCTATGAGCAGAATGGCGTCTAAGCGATTGTGGTGTTCTGTTCTTGGGTGTAATAACGAACACAGTCATTTTAATGTTCCTAAATCCGAACCGCTGAAGATGCAGTGGCTGAGTTTGTTTTCGAAGGGAATATTCCCCACGAGCAACGTCAATGCTCTCATGTTTGCGCGAATCATTTCTCACCAGACTGCTTTATAAACGAGGGTCAGTATAAAGCTGGATTTGCTAAAGCCTGGTTCACACGGCAGGATAATTAGGCCGATTTTAGCCCCGATTTACCCCTTCCGACAATCTTAAGGATGCTCCAATTATCGTAAATAATCTGATCAGATATTCCTGCCGTGTGTGGTGTGTTAAGACTGCTCTCGTCTGCCCGGAAGGACGTCGGGACCGCTCCGATCTCAAATCGGGGATATCCAACATGTTGGATTTTTTTGGCCCGATTTCTCCTCGTGTGTGGTGTCTCCCGGGGACAAACGAGCACGCAGCCTGTGGACTGTGGCGTGTAGCCAATCAGAAAGCGAGGTGACGAGGCGCAGAGGAAGCACCGGGAAACAAAATCAAAATAGTCCATGCTCGCATTGTCTCCACTTCTTTGACCATCGCCTTTTTTTTTGGTAACGTTTTTTTTTTTTTTTGGTTAATTTAATAATAATAATTCATTACATTTATATAGTGCTTTTCTAGGCACTCAAAGCGCTTCACATGGAAGGGGGAATCTCCTCAACCACCACCAATGTGCAGCATCCATTTAAAAACAAACTACACTGGTTGTTTACTCTGAAGTCACGTTTGATCTCGAGGGATTTTGCGAGTGTTTCCGTATGACCTGGGAATGCTAGGGAGTCAAATCGGTTCGTGCGTGATGTGTTGATTTTGCCGTGTGGCTGCGCACCACACACTGTACGACCAAAACTGTTAGACCCGTGATTTTTTATCGCCGTGTGTGGGGTCTCTCAGGTTTGGAAAATCGGCCGACAATTTTAAAATCGTTCCGTGTGAACCAGGCTTAAGAAGCTGCTCATGAAAAAAGGATCGGTACCAGATATTCGTGTTCCTGCTGAATCTCCAGACGAACGGAAGTGAGTGTAACGTTTTATTAAACTTTATATTAATATATTAATCTTTGCAAATCGCTAGCTGCACGCTTCACAATGAATGCGTCTAAGGTTTACACTCAGTCAGGGTACATTACGGCATGTTTTCTATGTATGACGTTCTCAATATAATTCATAATCCCACGTTTATACTGAACAACGCGTTATGGTTATTGTGTTGTTGTGTTACAAATGGTGTACGCACAGAACAGAGAGGCGGGGTGAGCAAAGCTCATTATCATTTAAAGTCATATGCACTGAAACGGCGTGCTGAAAACAGAGCTGTTTTTGACCAGGTAAAATAAGTGTTTTCTTACAATACTAATGAGAATTTTTAATTAAAGTATATTACAAACTTTTAATTTAGACCCTAAAGAATCATATTAGCTTGTACAAAAATGGCATTATATGACCCCTTTAATAATGATGTTACCAATTCCACTTTTCCTCACAGTGGAATCATGTTGGGCCCAAATGATGCGCATCGGCGTACACATGAGCTCTGAGGGCATTTTTCACAATAACCAATAGCTAATGTTACGTGATTTACATTAGATCAAATATTGTCAATAGTCTGTTTTTGCTGTATTTCTTCAATGAAAATAGTTCCAAACAAAACCACAGCAGAAGCTTTGTGTCTCTGAGCAACACAGACTGGTGTCTCATTACCGAATGAATCCACGTTTTTCTAATCTCATTATATTATTTATGCAATTCTAATCGCAGTGTTAATACATTCATGTCACCTCTGAGCTGCATTAAACATTGTGTGTAAAAACATCAAAATGCC